ATCTTCAGAACAATATGGTGGGATGTACAATGTACATTGCGCTCGACTTAGTCGATGGTTATTACCAGCTGCTTATGCGAGAGAGCAATATTCCGCTGACAGCTGTTAGCACTCCGAGAGGTATGCTCTGGGAGTGACTACTTATGTCGCAAGGGTTATCAAATGCCCCGGCTACATTCAATCGTCTTGTGACACAATTTTACAGACCTCACAAAGGTTATGCACATACATACTTTGATGACATATTTGTCCATAGTCGTGCTATGAACGGTCGGTCAGATGTGGACAATCAAATTGACCATTTACGAGCGGTGCTCGAGTGCATGCGCCTGAACGAGTTGTATGCCTACGCATCTAAGTGCAAATTTATAGCAGAAGATATTCCCTTTTTAGGGTGCTTTATTGGTAAGTGAGGCCTTAGAGCGGATACCGCTAAGGTAAAATTCATAGTTGATTGGCCGGTCCCAAAGAAATAAAAGGACTTACGTAAATGGCTTGGCCTTGCCAATTACTTGCACAAGTACAGTGCGAATTACGCAGAAGTGGCTCGGCCATTATCCAATCTCCTTAAAAAAGGATGTGGAATGGTGCTGGACTAGCACCGAGCATGATGTTTTTCAAGCAGTAAAGGAAAGTCTCCTTCATTTGCCAATGATGGTTTTGCTTGATCCTGATCGATCTTTCAGTGTCGTCTGTGACGCGTCTGACTTTGCCATACGTAGCGCCCTGTTACAAACAGATCCTGATGGGCGGGAACGCGTCCTTACGTTTGAGTCTCGGCAGCTGAAGGCTGCAGAAAAGAACTATCTTGCTCATGACATAGAGCTACTTTCAAAGAAGCATGCTCTCGTCAAATTCAGAGTTTATCTTCTTGCCTATAAGCCGTTTGTGATCTATACAGATCATGCGTCACTACGCACTGCGACCCAGTCGCCTCACCTCTCTCAGAGAATGGCTCGTTGGCTTTCCTTCTTTGCCGAGTACAACTTCGAGGTAAAGTATAAGCCGGGCAAGCAGAATGCTTTGGCTGATGCGTTGTCACGCAGGCCTGTCTATGAGCTTGCTCATGTTACGATTATGCGTCGTCGGTCACTGATCTAATCCGTATGTCATATGCCAATGATTAACATTATGTAGCTCTGCTACGTGCTATAGGATGCGAGGAGTATAAGAACTCAGACATAAAATCTTCGGCACGATTACGTGCGAGGTTACATCGATATTCTATCAATCAGGGCCTGTTGTGCTATAGCACGGATGTGGACGATACCCCTTGCATCGTCGTCCCTCATGATGAGGAGTTAAAGTATCGGATCCTCTATGAGGAACATGATACTGCGTTGAGTGGTCATATCGGTCATGAGAAGACCTATGGCTTAGTTAGCCAATGTTACGGGTGGCCTAAACTATGCAAATGGGTGAGCACATATGTGCGTACGTGTGAAACGTGTCAACGGGTGAAACCCTCACCTCACGCGGCCGCGCCGCTGGCTAGTTTGCACCCAAGGGGTGTTGGGAGTCCATCAGAATGGATTATCTGTTCGGTCGTCCGACGGATTAGTATGGCGATACGGGCATTGTGGTCTTTGTTGACCGTTTGAGCAAAATGGCTCATTTAGCGGCGGTGCCGGATTCTATCGATGGTGAGGGTACAGCAACGCTGTTTATCGATCGCGTGTTTCGACAACACGGTTTGCCGTTGGCAATTATCTCTGATAGAGATCCTCGCTTCAGTGAAAAGTTTTGGAAGTCTGTCTTCAAGGTGCTCGGCACACGATTGGACATGTCCACAGCGGATCATTCGCAGACAGATGGTCAAACCGAGCGAGTGAATCGCATCATCGGTGATATCTTGTGCAGTGGTTGCGCTGGAACGCCGAAACGTTGGAGTTCGATGCTCCCTGTCGTTGAGTTAGCGTTGAATAACGCCGTGTATGCCTCCACCGACTACACACCGTTCTATGTGAATGGTCTCACACACCCTCGCGTTCCGTTAACGCTACCACTACGTTGTTCAGGGCTTGGTGGGGAGAAGATGGACGACCGGCTTGCTGATATCAGCCCTGCTACTGTTTAAAAACAGGTAAGCGAATCTCTCGCAACGAGATTGAATGTCTTACGACATGTGCGTGACGCACTGGACGATAGCTAAGACAATAAAAAGGAAAAAGCTGATGCTAAAAGCAGAGGTTGTATCAAACGTTACGAGGTCGGAGACCAAGTTCTACTCAATGCTAAAAACTTACCTACAAATGTAGTGTCTACTGTCTTCAAGACAAAGTTGCGTCCGCGCTTCATTGGACCATTCACGGTCGTCTCCAAGAAGGGACTTGATTATACACTCATATCTTCCGCGCAACCTGCGCACACACTCTGTGTACTACGTTGGCTTGCTTGAGCCGTATCGGGATCCTTCACACGTGGATACAGAACTGTTCGCGCCACGTAGGTTGACCTTGCCATCGGTTGCTGAATCCGTATCAGGAGGTCAAGCTGAGCCTCCATCCGGGCTTGGTCTAACTTCGATGCCTGGACACGGGCTTCGCCCAACTCCAACACCTCAACACGGGCTCTCATCACGTCAAACGCACTCTGGGTCTTATACAATGTCTCACGGCTACCACTCAGCTCGAGAAGCACCTTCTCATGCTCCTCCTTCGGTATACCGACCACCTCCGACGCTGCTCGATGAGCAAGGGAACCGCCAAATCCATGTGGAGCGACTCTTGAAACGACGTCGTCGTCAAGGTCAATACCAGTATCTGGTGAAGTTGCGAGGGTACCCAGAGTAGGAAAACTCATTAGAGTTTGAGACACCCCTTCGGCAGAATTGCCCATGCGCCTTGGACGTTTTTGAAAATCGCGGCAAGGGTCATCCTTCGACCGAGAGCGCTTCTCACCAATAGTGGTGGAGGCAGGTGGGTAGTTGGGTACCGCTTGACCAACACCCACATCAATCGGCACAGCCGGAGCATAGCGTGTGCGTGTTCGCAACTGGCCTCTGGCCTTAATCTTGGCGTAATCATACCGAAGCTTTCGTTCTAGACGAACATCTGCCACATAGGCACTTGCTCTGAGAGCTAACACGCTGCTGAGGTGTCGTTTACGATGCACCCAGCGAACAAAAGCGTTGTCTTCTTCCTCCTGAGATTCGCCTGCGAATAAGATGATGGATATACCCTTCATCGTTGGAACCGGTGCACCCCGTGCTTGCGTGTCAAGTCGCAACTTGTATTGACTTTGAGTCGTCAAGTGGGGTTGCAGGTACCTCTCACGAAGTGCCTGTCGACTCGCCACCTCATCAGAAGATGTAGGCTCAGCGCCAATGGCCCACGTTGCCAAAGAACGACCTGTCGTTTGGCCTATAAGTTTTTCCACACCGAGTGGAGCGAAAAGATAGCCACGACGACCCTCAATGGTTGCAGCAAGCTGCACGGCGCTGAGCGCTCTCCTCTAGTTGGATAGCCAACTCTTGTTGCTCATGGAGCGGATTAGTGATGATGGCATCGCCCACGATTAGTTTTTGATGCGGCGCCGATGGGCGTTGGCTTCGCCACGCTCGGCAAATGGGTTTGTTGCAGTATGAGGCGGTGCCTCTTGCACTGGTGAGTCGGACATTGTCCTCTCTTCACCATCTATATCGGTATCGCTACCATTATTCACCTCTACATCTATGCCGAGGTAGGAAGAGAGAGTCGAGGACTCATGGGGTGGCGATGCCATGGTGTTTTGTGTTTTGCCAACCGTGAAGGTTGAAGCGCACACACATCGTCCTCTTCGAGGAAAGAATTCGATTGACGTGTTGTGGTAACGTCAGTCTGGTGGGGGAGGGTGTAACGGGGTTACACGTCGACTGGTAGTCGACAATAGGTGTGGTGCACACAAGGGATGGGATCCCCTTTGAACGTGATATTTGAATACAGTGTCAACTGTTGAAGACTGATGTCTGTCAACCATTGATTACGAGATCTTTTGAGAGGTTTATTTAGGACATCCGCGAGTAGGTTAACTACGTTGTTCTAAAGTGGTCTTTTAGGTTAAAAGAAGAAATAAAATTCAGTTCCCATTTTGATCTAATAGACACGTGCCTCTTTGAGGCATCTTGTGATCGTGGAGGAGATAGCAACGCCTTGTTAAAGCAGCTACTCCTAGTGCACTCTGTGCGTTGATTCTCTGAATCGTGTGGTCCCCCTGGAACAGGGACCGTAAGCTCTCTGAGCTTGTTGACTCTTTGAGTCGGGTTCTTTGAACCAAACCTTAGCTCTCTACGCTGTTGACTCTTTGAGTCGGGATCTCTGAACCTTACGTTGCTCGTTGAGCGTTAGAATCTTCCTCTGACTTAAGGAGCTGTGTAACTCCGCTACACGTCCCCTGTGCCTCAGATCCGAAATCCGGCGGTTTGCGCTCTAGCTCGGACGGCTCTACCGCGGGGGAAACAGCCGTGCCTTGCATGCCGCCCGACGATCGACGCGTAGCCTGGAGAGCTAAGTCTCGGAAGCGCAGCAGTTAGGGTGTACTAGGGTCCTCTCAAACCTATCAGCTGGTGCTAGGCTGACAGGGCAATGCTAAGTGCGATGCTAATTTGAAAGTGAGGGTATTTACAGTTTCACCGAGCGATCACATCGTTTGCATTTCATGTTCTGTTTGGTGGTTGTAGTTGAATTCGGTCGCACTGTGCGTAAATTTTCAATCTGAAGCCACAATTCCAATCACACTTTTGTGTTACGGCCGGCAGCTGATCCAACTAAGCGTTTGTTGAGCTGACCATACGCGAATCCGGATAGAGTGCAGACGCGTGAGAGGATCTGAGACAAGCGCTACACACGATCTCGTACAGTGAGTGGCTCTCGTGTAAGTGTCTCACGCAGGACCCGTCTTCGCACTTGCGTCTGGTTGTGGTGATACGCAGTGTCTCTGCTTTGCCATTACGTGAGTCAAACAATTGACAATCGGTGGCACTATTACGAGCAGAACTGTCTGTGCTGCCGACTGCTAACGTTATGGACACTTCGGCGACCAAGTCGACCTCCTCCTCATTCCTTCCGTCCGTTCCGAGCGCCTGCAATGGCCAGTTAACTCGCGGAACACAGCGCAAGAAACCTGACAGACGTGCGGTCGTCTTTTCTGTGGATCGCTATCTCGCGTCTCCAAGTGCTGCCACAGCTTTTGATCTCTGCAAAGTGGCGCAGCGACTATCGACTTACAATGGATTTTCTTCGGTACATCACAACGAGCTTTGGCTTCAGGTGCTAGACGCTCTGGCCGATCACGTGCTTGCTCTAGCAGCGTCGAGTGAAGCGCCGGACGTACACTCGCAGGCGACCCAGACCCAACAAACGCCGGAAGATGTGCTGCCGTTGCTGGAACTCTGCTACCTGTTTGCGAGGAGCGCTGCGATCGGGTATCCTTCGCATACGCTGTGTAAACTACTGCAGTGGCTTGTGAACAGCGTGTCCATGTCGGCGCTACAAAGCGGCTGTGAGACGGATACAGGGCTCAAGTTGCAGCTTGTTGTGCTCGCAGAAGTGACCAAGCGCAGTGCTGGTATTCGAACGTATACCAAGGAGATAACGAAGATCAAGGACTTTTACCGCTCGTTGACAGTCTTGCTTAGCAACACTGAGGACGCTGAACTGTTGGTGTTTAGTATGGCCATTCTGGCTAGCCTGGTGCTTTCTGAGCCTGTAGGCTGCAAGCTATTCAGTGAGAAGAACGTGGATGAAGCACTTGTATTGGTATTTTCGTTGCTGAATGGCTCCTGGCATGATGGTACTGATGAGCGTATGTCGGATTTTACAACGACTATCGACCGGCAACCCTTGCTGCAGATGGCCAGTGTTGACTTGATCTGTAACCTTGCTGGTCGACAAGAAATCTTGAAGCTACTCGAGAAGCACCCGAAGCTTTCACCGACGCTCGACAGTTGCATCATGACGATTAATCTGAATGGTGACGTTGAGCACATTGTGGTTGCCGCGCATTTTATCTCCTCGATCGTTCGCCTCAGTCAATTGTGTCGAAAGATGGTGATCAAAAAGCTGTCCGATCAAGACGTCATCTATCGCGTACTGCAAGCGACACTGCACCCTTCCAAGTTTGCCGCCACCACCGCCGCGCAACTGGTTCTTACAGTGATTGGCGACGATGTCCGCTCCCTCCAAACCCTTTTCGATTCTGTAGCAAGTGCAGAGCGGATGCGTCCTATAATCGTAGGAATGATCCGTTGCACTTGTGGTGCCATTCAACTGGTGCAAGAAGCTGAAGACATCGAGGTGCTGAGTAACTCGGACGAGTATCTTCACGCCGTGGCTCTGTGCCGTCTACTTGCCAAACTGAGTGTATTGCCCGCCATACGCTCGCTGTGCGTTGAGTCGATCAGTCTGAACCAGGTGCGTTGGAACTGCGTTAATGCACAGAAGGGAACAGGGCTTACTAAATCAGGCATGATACATGCGACTGCATGTAGAGTGCAACGCTGATACAAGTGGAGTCTGCTCTCATTGGCGCCGCTGATCCGCAAGACTTGATACGCTTCCATTCTCAACTGTCGATTCACCTTGTGGTAAGGAGACTTTACATTCTCGAGGCGAATGTGTGACTTGCCTCTATTGCAGCATGTTTCTGATCTGCAGTGCTGGTGATTTACATCTGGACAGAGTCTCCTCTCAAGCATGGCGTCTGATGAGAATATGGCCGACCGGAACAGACGCACGTTGAGTCAATTTCTCCAGACTGCTGAAGTAGCTTTGGTCCTGGCTGCTGCCCTGTTCAGTCGCACCGACAAGAGTACTGTGGCCGAAGCACTGCTGATACTTGCACAGTCGCTTGCTGGCTCCAGGAACAAACGTTTTCGTGCATTGGAATTGGTGGAAGCAATCTTTGGCTTCAGTCAGCGCATTGGGGATGCGAGCGACAGCTTACAGTCCACGATCTCTTCCCTCCAGGCTAGTGCAGAAGCCAGCGTAAAGTCGGCTGAAAACTTGCAGGCTGAGATGCAAAAGATGCTGCACCTCCAGGACGAACTCGAAAATGAGCATGATCGAGCAATGAAAGACATTGGAGCCAAGTTTGCGGAGCAGATGAGGCAAAAAGACGATTCGATGCTGAAAATGCGTGATGTATACGAAGAAAAACTTCGCGAAGCCTCAGAGCAGTGCAAAAGTATGGGACAGCACATGAACAAGAACCTGATTGTATTACAGCAGCGTGAATCGCTTCTTCAAGAAAACCGTCTTGAGCGTGGAATTCTAGAAGAAGAAAACAACGAATGGAAGCGTAAGGTGCAAGTTCTGGAGACCAGGATTGAGGAAATCGCGCGAGCGCATTCCATTGCGATGCAAGAGATAGACCTTCGTGACGCGAAAACGGAAGAACTGCGTGTAGAATTTGCCGCAATGTCTGGAGACTATGCAGCCCAACAAAAAGAGCTTGAGGCGGCTTACGACGAGACAAAGGCAAGTGTGATTGCTGCTATGCTTGCCAATTGTCAGGACCTGTGTAACAACTCACGTCCCCAATGTGTAGCGACTGGAGGACGCGCTTAGCGAGCAAAAGCTTTCGAACGAAAACACGTACAAAGAGTTGGTACTGCTATCGAAAGCTCATAAAGCGCTGTCGGACGAGAAACAGCACGTTGAGGACGAGATCGATGCTGTCCGCGACGAACTGGCGAACCTCGAGTCGCTGAATGTCTCTATCCAGACAAGGATGCAAGAAAAGAAGGAACTTGCTGATGAGCTAGAGCGACATGTAAGCAGTATTTTCGGACAGCCAGGGGGGGGCAAAGCTTACCTATATGTACATACTGCGACCAGATGTCACGGCTCGACGATGCTGCTACTGCCAGCAAGAATGCGTTAGAGGCCGAGCGGGAAAGGCGACGAGCGATAGGCCGTGACCTCGACGACCTCAGACAAGCCCATCATAAGCTCGAAAGTGGCATGACAACGCTCGAATTGCACGCAGCTGAGCAACGGTTGATAGCCGAAGCAAAGGACGAGCGTATTCGGAAGTGCGAAGAAGAGATCTGTCATCTGGTAAGAAGCCTCTTGTTTCGTTACGGGTTGATAGACACGATTGATGATGTGCGTGCTTCTGCATGGACAGACAAAAGAAATCGGACAGCAAGCACAGCTGCAGGCTTTGATTCACCAGCTGAGCTCCAATGTTGACAGTAACATCAAAGTCAATGACAGCTCGTCATTGCTCGCGCGCGACAAGTAAAGCTCTGTCAGGAACGCAACGGGTTCCACACAGCGTTTTGAATATGCTGAAAGCAGACCGATCGATCGATGTATTGACTTCTTCTCTTCACAAAGTACTCACTTTCGTCTTGTGCAACAGCAAAGGCGTGCAAAATATCTACTGCTGCCGCAAACCTACCAGCAGTGCGTCGCTGTGCTCGCAGATCGGTCGTTGGCTACATCTAGTGGCGACGACCGCCGCGACCACCACGACCACCGCGGCCGCCACGTCCACCACGACCCCCACGACCTCCACGCTGAAACTGGCTACGGTTCGACTGTGTTTGCTTGAAGCGCTTGTACCGGGCCGAGCGAGCATCTTCCCAGAACTTCTTCTCCTCTTCGCCTTCAATGATAGCAGCGCTCGGAATCTTCACCCCATTCACTTCCAGTCCACCGTCCGCAAACATGTCCACCACCTCCTTCGCAAGGGCAGCACTGGTGACACGGAGGTAGCCATCTTTATCGTTGATCTGGTACTTGATAAATGCAACACCTTCGCCGTCGGTCGCTTTGTCGCCAAGCTTTTCATTTACAGCATTCTTGATATCGTCACGTGGAATCTCGCCGTCAATGCCGTCGAAACGCACAATGAGTCCCTCGTCGTACTGGACATCGACCTTCAGCTCTTCGTCAAGCTCCAGAAGGTGAAACGAGACCTTCTTGCCACCCAACTCGGCCTCTGCAAGCGATGAAAACTTTTCAAACACGGATGCTGCCTCAGCAACATTGACCTTGAACGACGCAGTGTCGAGGCCATCGTACTCAATGTACGGCGACTGGGTCGAAGAGTCCATGACACCAGCAACGAACTGCTTCACGTCATCGAGACGCGTCCGGGGACCAATGTTTGAAATGTGGATCACCTTCACAGGTTCACGTTGGCGCTTCTTGTTCACGATGCGCGGACGCGCCTTGATCGCGTCCTTGTCCGTCACAAGCTCAAACGTCAGCTTCTGTCCATCCACGACGACTGGCTTGTCGTCCGCCAACAGCTTTTGCACGGTCTCGGCAGACGAGACCTGCGTGAAGAGCAAGTACAGCTCACCAGACTCTTCAAAGTACCGCACCCGGGCACGCAGTTTCGCGTCGTCCTTCCAAATGGGAAGCAGCTCGTCGAGAAAGAAAGTCGTGGGCTTGTTCGGCACGTCTTTGGCCACGAGCATGGCGTTCGTGGCCTTGTCAAACTCGACCTTGTCGTCGTCCGACAGCTTTTGGTAGTCGACCATAGCGATACCGTTCGGCACGCACCCGTTGATCCGAAGCGACGCCGCCGACTCGACAACCTGCTGCACGGCGGCCTCGTCCTTGAACTCAATGTGCACAACACCAGCGAATTTACGGCGGAAGCTCTTGCGGTCGATGTAGAGACACTCGACGTCGAGGGCCTGGAGCCCTTCTTTGATCTCGTCGACCGTAGGCGTTGTCTTGCCCAACCCAGCGAGCACGACAGTGCGCTTGAACGCGTCGTCTTCTTCGGGCAGCGGGTTCTTGCGACGGAGGGCGTCGTTGGACTCATTGAGCTCGACCACGTCCGAGTCCGAGATGGCCGCTTGGAGCACGGCGCTGTCCACCGTCAGCGCTGCGAGTTTCTTGAACGTAAAGAGCACAGTGAAAGGCACGAAGCCGCCCTCGTGCTTCTTGGTCTCTTCCTGCAAGAAGCGGTCGCGACGGAAGTTGCTGTCCGAGAAGTAGAACTCCACTTGTTTCTTGATCTGAGGCGCGACGGACGTCATCGCTCTCCGTTCGGTAGAGAGATAGAGAGATAGCTGGACGAGGAATGAGGAGCTACTGGCAGACAGACACCTTTGAGCGAATGACTGGCTCGCAGCGTTGACCCGAGGACACAGGATAAGGACGACCTTAAATCAGTAGTTGGCCAAAAACCGAATCGGCTCTGCCTGACATAAGTTAGAACTGGTGTTAACTATTTACTTGCACCCGCGGCGAATGGCTCCTCCTACCTATACTTGCACCATCGCTTCCTGTTCCTATTGACTGCCGAGTGTCCATGACGAGCGCAGACAACAACTCGAATCTCTGCTGCTTACTCCTTCTTTGCAACTACTTCTACCACCATGAACAAAATCGCAGCGTTCGGTACAACCCGCATCAAATGTGCTGGCATACCCGAGTACAACCCACGTCTCCCTTCTTCCTTGTAGATCGTGACGATCGACTGGACCATGGACCGGTACCTACGATTCACACAGGGACACCGTTCGTTACGACCGTCGACCAATACTTGCGAGTGCGAAAGCGATACTCACTTGAGTTCCTTTGAGCCCAATGGCGCGCGCTGATCGCGCATTCGTGTTCGAACGACCTGTGCAAAGGAGAAGCAATTGCTACGTGAGTTTGCCGCCAATATGCACGTGACAATCTATGTTAGATGTACGCACCTCATGTGGATACGTGCATACTGAAGCCAGCAGTTTGCAAGCGCCAGCCGTCAAAAAGTACTCGAGATTCGTGGGCTCGTCCATGTGGTTCTTGCACTCTTCGTACAAGGCAAACTGGACAGCACTTTCCGATATTCCCCAGTACGACGCCGACAGCCCTCGAAAAAACGCCCGTGGCCCCTCTTTGCGGTACATGTCCAATGCCGCTTGACAAATACTCGAGAACTGCGGTCTGGCCTTTGTTGCACCGGCCGTCTCGACTTCGGCAAAGCCTACTGACACTACGTTCCGACCCATCTTGACAGTAGATGTAGTCGTAGCATGCGCTGGCATGAGCTGCAAGCGCGTCTTGACGACCCAAATGGGGCAGCACAGTGTCGCCGAGATCGATCCAGCGCCCGCAGCCGACAGGAAGTTGAATGCACGACCGTTCAGTCCGTACGCACTAAGCTTCTCCTTGAACGTCGAGTACGAGCCAAAGTAGATCGCGCGTGCCGGGATAACGCCAATCAACGTGGGCGTGATGCCTCTCCAGAGTCCAAACACCGACTCTACACAACCACACCACACGCGCCCAAGCAGAGCACAACACAGCATAGCGTCGCAACAAGTACTGGTTAGCCCCAACTTGACTTGACATCTCAAACAGTGTCTGCAGCAATCAAAGCAGCAGCAACAGCGACCACTTACCGGCCTTTCCAATTGAGCGCATGACGCCAAACGTCGTCTGCGTCCCAAACGACCCACTGCACAGCACAACAAATCCACCACGTCAGTCCAGTGCCTCCACCCTAAGATTCCAATCAAGCACAGCAGCTGTCCCACCCTCCGCCCCGGATCTGCAGCCGCGTCTTGACGACCTCAAGCGGCGACGTGAGCAGCGCAGCCGCCATACCGCCAACAGCACCGCCGGCAAAGTGCTGGTACGTGAACCTGCTGCTGGGCATCCGCATACTGGTAGCAGCAGCTGCTGGTGGCTGCACAGAGTGCATTGCGGCACACACACGCGGCTGTGTGGCTGGCGCTACGCGCATTACCGCCGCCGAGTCCACCGCCATCGCCTGCTGCACGTGACCACTTGACCGGGTGATCGAGCGCGTACTCGACTGCGGACCAGTAAAACGTACGCTTTGCGTTTGTATGGTGTCGAAAACCGAATAGCTACTCGACAGCCCATGGGTTTTGGCGGTCAAGTCTCGACACACCAAAACCGGTATGCACCAGCGCAGGTTTGCGGGTGGCCGACCTTTTCGGACTAAAAAAGGTCCCACCCAAACGCGCGCGTGCGGTGAAGTGGCGATGGAGACACCGCCGCCGCCGATGGCGCCGTACCTAAAGCGGTGGGAGGAGCAGAAGCAGCAGAGCCGCGACGACCGTCGGACGCAGCAGCGGTGGTGTCACGGCAGCGACGTGGGCGACGAGCTGAGCTTCATCTCGGCCATTGAGCGCGAGACAGGAGAGCCGTGCGACCTTCAGCCAGAGCCATTGAGCCATCCGATGGGCGACAGTGCCTACGATATGTTTGATCTACCGACGCTGGACGCGTTTCCGGAGTCGGAAGTTGCAGAAGAGACGCAGGAGCATCAGCATCAGCAGATGCCGACGGACGACGAGTTTATGGACGCCGGTGCGTTAGACTGTCGCTCGTTGAGAGGCTTTGAGAGCTGTGGATGGATATGGATATGATATGTGGAGAGGGTTGTGGACGTGATGTGTGACGCTGAGTGGTGTGTTCGTGGCGCAGCTGCTTTTCTCAAGCAGAACGAACTGGGCGGACACGACAGCTTTTCTAGCGACGTACAAGAGAGCTGGGAGCGCGTGCACTCGGTCGGTCGGCCAAGCGACTTTTTCGAGCAAAAGTCGCGCAATCTGGACCACGTGGAGCTCTCGTCACCGACCAGCACTGACGATGTCATGGTACGAATGATAGGGGGAGGACAGTGGACGTCAGAGTGCAGATGGAGCTGTTGCTGACAAAGTTGTGCTCTTGTGGGCTTTCGCTCTGTAGCATCGGGACGGTGACGCTGAGGATGTGGCCGGTGGGTCTGCGCTGGGTGCTCCCTCGCGGCCGTTGTCTCCGGTCGACCCAGTGCAGGGCGTGGCGCTCCATGATCACTTCGATCGTGACTCGGGGCTTTCAGGATCAGACACAGCCTTTTCGTCTGGATATGATATTCACTTTGACAACACACGGATGATGTATACACCGAGATCGCTGAAGCACCTGCAGGTTTGTGAGAAAGCTAGACGTTGCTTGCATGTTGTGTACTGACGCCTCGAGTATCGTACAGGAGAAGAGTCAGCCGAGGACCGACGGTTACCACGGTGACCACGCTACCGAAGAGCGTGGTCGTACGTGTGTAGACCATGTCGGCGAGGCAAAAGCATTGGCCTCGAAGCGCCGGATGTTCCTGGACCAGGACTTTCCAGATGACCCGTCGCCGGAACAAGTGGCCATGTTGCAGCGCGGACCAGTCGTCATCAAAGAGGCGCTGCGAGAAATTGATGCCGTGATCGACAACTCGGTGCGACTAGTGTCATCGTCGCACACGAAAACTCCGCTTGGCGTTGAGCTGTCTGAAGACGTGCGCGAGTTTGTCCGCGAGTACGAGCATCCTCTGGAATCCATGCTTCCGCTTTCAAGAACAACCGACAGTTGGGGAGACGATACATCGACTTCCCAGGTTGACGACGACGTGAATCGACAAAGTCGAGACTTCGAGTCATTTTCTAGTGGCGTCGGACCTAGTGTCCAGACAACGAAAGGCATGAGAAGAAGTAGGTCTCAAGAGGCGCCAGAGCTTGACACCATTCGTGAAGTCCCGTGTTCATCCAACACAGTTTCTGCATCACGAAGCGGAAAAGTGAGTGGTTTTTGCCATCCCTGTTCGAGTGCTCATTCTTCGCGAGCACAAGATTGTCTCGGGTCCTCTTCTAATGACGGATCTACTGAACTGAGGAAGGGCAGTCTACAAAAGAGATATGCTGACGAGAATCGTGTTTTAGATGTGCCTGAACGTGCGAGCGGAGATGAGTCTAGGAGTTGGGGTGGTTCGGAAACTCACGCTGCATCAACTGCACACGACCGAATGCTGGAAAAAATGGTAGCCACTGGGAGCCCGCTTTGCAATGACATGGACGGGGCGAAGCCTGGTCACGTCAGTCGTGGAAGCGACGAAGAGCGTGGTGACGTTTGCGTAGAAACTTGCACAGACGATGCTGATTGTAAAAGGAATTACCGCAACGGGGCGCATGAACAGTTGAGACCCACAAGAGGTCCACTTGCGAGTTCGCATTTAGGCGACACCGATCTGAATCGCGCACACTTTCGTTCCAGGGAGAAAGGCTGTCAGTCGTGCGGTGCATCGAAGAGGAATGATCGATACGCTACAAATGCTGATTCTGAACTGAAAACGAGCGCTGCACATCGACAAGCAGCAGTATCTGCCGGACTTGTTGATGCGGTACGTCATGTTCCATGCAGCTGTATGCACTACCCGCCTTCTCATCGTGTTCTTCCCGTTTCGCAGCTGGACCGCAAAGAACTTCATTTGGCGATGGACGTTGCTATGGTAATGGGTCTGTACTCAATCCACCGTTTTCATTTGCGGTACTTATTTGTTTGGAATGTTCGCTTGTAGGCTCCGCACCGAAGCCGAAGGTTCCTTTGTTCTGTCGGCGACATCATGACGCAACAAATCGTTTTTACGAACGAAACGAGTTCAGTTGGGAGAATCTGTGTCTCCCTCCTTCCTCTAAGCACAGGGTGTCAACAATTTAGCGTATCACCAGCGGTACTGGAGCTAGGACCCAAGGCTTCTAGTGCGTTCTGTGTTACCTTCAGCGCACGTTACGCAGGCGCTGTATCGGGGGTGTTTCAGTTCAGAGGAGTCGGCGTTGATTCGCTATTTGACCCGTACGAAATCGTGATCGAAGCAAGCGTGAAGCGACAATCTGAAGTTGAAGCGCCAAGGAGTCCAAGCACAGCACGCCAGCGCCAAGAAACAGATGTTGTCAGTGGTCGTGTTCAGGAAGTGCAAGCCAGTCCCTCAATTGACCATGTGGCAGTCACTCCCACGTCTATTCGGTTTGATTGTGTCCGAAGCAAGAGTGGCGAGCAGCTGTTCCGAAAAGCCAGACTTCGCTTAGCGAACAACACAGCTCAGGCATTGCCGTTCAAGGTCCGTGCGCCTGAAAACATTCGGGTGAGCCCAGCGTCTGGAATGATCCAGCCAGTGTCGAGCGTCAATCTGTCAGTGCTACCGATGTCGCAGCCGGTTGGTCCTCCCTGTCTAGTAGAAGATTGGGTTGGCTCGCTCACAGTTCGAGTTGGCAAGACTTACACGCGCAAAGTGGATGTTGTGGTGGACCGACGTGTGATTCAAATGCTTGCACCTTTTGCCCAGGTCGCACGTTTTCGGCACCAGCTTTCGCCACAAACAGATTCGTTTTACTACGCCAAGCGTAGTAAACGACGTGGTTTGTACTTTCACGCTAGGGCAGTTGAATTTGGATGCTGCAATGTTGGCGAGTCGCATGAGGTGCCAGTGTATGTGTGCAATGGATCCGAGGCACCAATGACGGTCTTCTTACAGGACCTACAAGAGCCCTTCTCGAGTACCTTTTCCACGACCACCATCAGGTCCCGGAAGTTTATTGAGGTGATGGTGACATTCACTCCCAAAGTTGCGGGCAAAGTCGCCACGTCACTCTTCGCCTACTCGGTTGATGAAAAGGCAGTAGTTACGCTCGTCGCTCGAGGCATCTAGCTCGAAATGCAATCACAACAACGGTGGTGTTGTAGTCTATCGTATTAAGAAATTGTTTCGGTCAACATCCTATATGAACGCGTCATTCCATCGTCTGCTCGGCATGTTTTGCAAGAAATTCATCAACGACGGCGAGCACTTCGACGTACGCGGCAACGCCTGCAGGATACACACGGATCCAGCCTGCTCCTGAGTCCTGAGACATCTTGTCGAAGCGGTTCCAGTGAAGATGTCGTTGCAGATTGATCGGAAGCTCTTGTGCGCCTGCGGCTACCTGCCACGATGAAAATCCCGCACGTTGAATGCACGGAGCAAAGTATTGCGTCAGCACTTTGTCCGTGTCTTGGACTGAAGGCACGTCAATCACCAAGTGCATAAAGAACTGCCATCTTCCCCGAATCGCGTGTCGAAACCCCAGCTTCATGCATTCAAGTTGGAGCATCAACATCAGTCTCTCGTAGCGCGGGTCTTCTTGCTCGCGTTCCCGAACGGGCCAGCGTACTTGCACTTCGAGCGTCGCACCCTTGCCCATACACAATGCAAGCACTTTCGTCCGCTGGTGAGCTGATGGGTGAAACGCGTCGGTCCCAACTTCCATGGCAACCGCAGCTTTTAACGACACTGGAAAGAATGCGTCGCTACGCTTCGTTCCAAGCGAGATCAGCTGCTCTAGCAACGTCATGGTTGGGTTCAATGCTGGAGGTGCGGACGACAAATCGTCCTCGCTCTGCAGCAGAGATGGCGTTATCCCAATTTCGATCGGGTCAATTCTGGAAACGACCAAGCGCCGGAGGTTTGTTGTGATAATCTCAAGCACAGCAACGCACAGTCCGCCAGGTGAATACGTAGAGTGGCCCGAACAATCCTCGTTCACTTCTCCTCGAGACGAGTCGATACCGCTTTGATCATCTTGCTTCTCGAGAGCTGCTCGGAAATGGCCAAAGGACGACACTAATGCATCGTACAGATCTTGCGAGCTGCAGTCCTCGTCATTTTTCCCGGTTAGTGCACCCTCATCGTTTTCCGCCCACTTTTTAGAATAAGCGCAAACTTGCTTATGCTGCGGAACTGAAAGCCAGCGGCCCAATACACTCGTCAACAGTCGATGTGAAAGAGCAAATAACTCGGGACAGACTTCCACCGAATATGGCTCTTCTAGCTGCATGGGATCGAGCTCCCATTTACCAGTGGGTTCTTCGGCCTTCTGCATTCGCTTCATTTGCCAAGCGGATAGCTCACCTAGCATGTGTAAAACAATCATTCCCAGCTGCGAAAAAAAGACGGCATGGAATCGTCAGTGCGTTTCAACAATGACAGTGACCCCAGGTCCGTGAAGTACCTGTGATCTGCGCTCAATCGATTTCAAGCGGAATTGCTGCTTGACTAGTAACGTGACCAAAGAAGCCGGCGGGCAATTGTCATAGCGAGCATCCTGTATCGCATAAATGCCATCGTCACAACGTGCACACCTCGATCAGGATGACAAGCACCTCACCTCGTTCAACGTATTGCTTTCCGCACCACACATTTCTCTTCGCAGCGAGGACAACTGCTCGACGTAGCACCTGTCGAGACTTCCAACTTGCGGATGACCTACAACGACCATACGCTGAATGGAGGCTGCCAATTTCTGCACGAACAACTGCGCAGAAGATTGCCCGTCTTCAGAAAGTATATCTAGATGATCCCACTTCTGCCTGTCGATACTTGTGGTCGCGGTGGTGGGTTCTACTCGCGTATTGAGCAAGAGGCATGTAGCTAGCTGCAAAAGCCCGCATAGAGAACCCGATGCAAGCAAAATACTCTGCAAAGCTCGCACAGCAAGATCCCTGACTTCAAAAGAAGAAGACGCAGCTGCCTCATACAGCCATCGCTGAATATCCCGCAGCACCACGCTAGTAGGGGTGTACACTGAGTCGAATGATGCCTCCTTGCAATTGATCGACTCAAGTCCAAACGATTTGCCTGCCACGATGGTCATCTGTACGTCAGTAGCGAATAACACCATTACAACATCGTATGACACGGCTTCTGCTTACCGCCTTTGTCGGGAGAGAACATCGTTACTTTGATTGAGGTCACCAGCGTTCCCTGTCGAGTTGCAATCAAGTTACGTGAAAGCTTCACCGGTAGTAGCATACAGTAGCTGACAAACCTTTGGTACCAGTATTCGGCTTTCATGTTTGCTTACTACCACAACTACCACAGTGTCGTACGTCACACCATCTTTCGAAACACTAAGCGAAAAGTATTCGGGTAGAAAGCCCGCACGCCACTTCAGCTCAACCGATGAAAGGGTGACCATAGAGCTAAATTGACACACAATCCATTCGCCTAATCGTAAACCATTTTCATCAGTCTTGCTACTTGATCTCCAGAAGCCCGAGCCACTTTCCAGTACGCTGCGGAAAATTGAGCAATTCACATCAATCTTGACCACGACTCAAACAGCCTGAAACAAAGCAGAATGGCATACTTAGAGGCTGCGTGCAGTTCGTCAAACTCGGAGCTCGAAGTAACTTTCTTCGGAAGCAGTTTCTCCTCTGAAAGCTGACGAGGTGGCGACCATTCTGAATATAAAGCAAGCGGTTCCATCTTCCCAAACATTGCGACAACCTAGCAGCATAGAGTGAATCAGACAGTGAACATCGCAACATGCATCAGTCGATGTAGCGATAGAGTCGAACCTGCCGGAGAGACCTCGCGGAAGCAGCTGAATCTGGATCAAAAGTACCAATCACAGTCGACAGCAACCGAATAGAAACCTGCAGCAAGGAACAGCTCGTCTCTCAACAATTATCTCCACCAGCACAAAGTGTTGCGATATGGTCCAAGACGTTCCTACCTGATGTAGATGGTTCTGTTGTGTAACAATCTCCACCCGTCTCGGTCGATATCGTGGACTGCTCGAGAGTTTCGGTGCTACCGGACACCCTTCCATCCTCTCAACTGCAAACTTGAGCTCACTCTTTGGCAGCTGCACAGCCACTGGTTGCAACGGCATCTGTCTTCGACAACAGCCGTCCACGTGTGGCATACTGAGCTGGAAGTTTGCCGCACTCAGCGGCATGCCAGTAGCTGCTGCGGCCAATGGATCAAGTTCCGTGCGAAGAGTCAGGACGTCGCGATCTCGAGGGAAAATGGCACTCGAACAGCGCTCGCAAACGAGAACAGTATGTGCAATCGCTTCCGTCGTGGCGGGGAAGGCGTCCAACGCTTGCTGCACCTCCTGCAACGAGCAGGCCCACATGAATACTGTCGTGGGCGCTTTGCAGCGTCGACAGCCATCTCGAAACGGGCGGGCGTTGCTCGTAGCGGCCGAGCAGCTCGGGCACTTGGCGTGCAGTTTTCCATCCGTCTCAAGCAGCTTTTGGGTATAGAGCGAGCCATGCACGTCGCAGCCCGGGAACTCGAGGAACTGGCACCTGCTACAGAGAAGGACAGCACACGTTCGCAGTTTATACGCACTGGCAGCTGGCGGCACTGGACGAGGCGGCGGTGCAGGCGCAGTGGACGCGTCGCTCGTGCGGGTGGCGGAGCTCGTCGTCATTTGTTTTTTTTGTCGTTTTTAGTTTTTTTAGTACAGTGGCGACTGCAGAAAAAAAACTGATCTTATGGAGCTGTGGGACGGTCGCGACTCAGATCTACCGGTATACTGCACGAGTCCGTGGTGTCGGCGGGGGGTTCGAGCCCCTGGGATATAGCCTCGAGCGGTATGCGCTTGCACAGGTGCCACACGAACAGTGGCTCGGCAGAATAGTTTGCAGCCATGTCGAAGCAAGCGAGTGGTAGCACTGGCGGGAGCAGTCATAGCAAACGCAAGCGCGATGCAAGTCACGAGCGCAAAGCGCCGCTGGGCAAAGCTCGTCAGGAACATATGGAGGAAGAGTTTGCCGCCACGTACCACGGCCTGACGGCGCTGTACAAGTTGCTGGAGGTGCAGCACCTGCAGAGTCCGTTGTTCCTGCCCCGGACGTTGAGTTATCGCTTGGACCCGGCGTGGCAGCAGAATGAAAAGCAGGAGGTGGATGAAGCAAAGGACGCAAGGGAGAAGGAGACGCTCAAGCAGCCGAAGCAACGGCAGGTCGTGACGGCGCCGGCTGGCGCGACGTTGACTGCGTTCAAGATTGGCATGACGTCCGAGACGATGGAAGCGTTTCAGAGCAAGACACAGCGTGTGGGAGTCCTGATCTCGCTGTTTCAAGCACGTGGGAAGCTGTTTGGTGCCAACGAGTTCAAGCTGCTGGCGGCGTGCTTGATCCCCGTGCCGTTTACGAAGAACGTGGTGCTCCCCGCAGAGGTGCTGAGTCTAGGTGCCGACATCACTGTCATGGTCTTCCACGTCGTAGAGATTCGAGAGGGTGATGAGGCTGTGACGAGTCAGTCGTCCTTCACTTTCGCCACGCCTTCTACAGCCACTTGTCTGAGTGGAAAAGAGCTGCTGGCTACGGGGATTGATGGCCGGAAGCCTCTGTTTGGCAACCTGTTGAGACTAAATCTGTCGAGACGTCGTGTGGGTCTTGTGACTGTCGAGTTGCCAGCAATCGCGTCTTCGGTGCATGGAGGTGAGTGCTCCTGTTCGCAACTGGTCGTTGTGCTGCTGCTCTTGTACAGACCGGTGCGATGTACTCATTTGATGATGTGCAGGTGTCAAGTGCGAGTTTCGTATCGTGTGGGATCGTTTGCCACAGACGAAACAGATGCAGCGTCTGGAAAACGTTTGTAACGCGAAGTTCTGGAAGGAGGACGACGGACAGCAGTCTGACGAGAGCTTTCTGCTGGCAGTTCCTAAGCGAGACGTCTCAACTGCTGCTCGCAAACCATGTGCGGGGGTACGTTTTTCCATATTGTTCAGCGCATGATTGCACATGGCAGTATATTGACACAACATGCGTGACCTCTTGTGCCTTCCTCTACGTTGGTCAGGTGTGGTTTCACTTCCTCTACCATTTCATGCTACGCCGAATGAGCGAGAAGCGATCGGAGTACTCGTGCGCGTGGTGTAACATGTTTGCTGGGTCGCTGCGTGGGCTCGTGGCCCATTTGGTATCCTCCCACGACCGGTTTCGTTTCCAAGCCACAGTGAGTAAACTGCTTGATGGTATCCGGTATCGAAGCTTGATGACTGACATCGATTCTTGTGCTCGTAAAGGTCGGACACGATAACATCCCACACATTTATGTGATGGTCATGCAAGAACACCATTCCGGTAAAAGCAGCTCTGAAGTTCGATCGGCTTTTTCTGAGCTTGTTATGTCTCCTAACGAGGAGCCGAGCCGGTTTGAGCACCATTTCGTGCACATGTCGGGAAAGAAGTATGGCCCCTCTGGCTCCCAGGCCGTGGAAGCCGTCGAAGGTTTGATGCAAGAGTTTGATGAGCTGGATGAGCTTTCGCAAGAGCATCCGCAGGAGTTCTACGCGCCGCTTCTGCAGCGTCAGTACTTTCACTCGCGAACAGGTGCGGTGGTTTTGGACCACGAAAAGGATTATGATAGCGACGACGACGTGGATGAGACGTGGATTACGAAACAAAGCGAGCGGGTACGTCGTTCGACTGTCGGCAACGATCACCAGACTCTTTTAGCACACTTTTGTCAAAGACTTGTTATACTTACATTGACAATGCGCAGCTGTTGGACGAGTTTGAAGACGTCTCGCTGGAAGAGAAGGAGTTTATGAAGAAGTGGAACCGCCACGTGAAGGAGTTCAAGTGTGTTCCGACGCCATGAGTGCCACAATGTGACTGCAGAGCGATTACTGACGTTGAACGTGTGTTGATACAGAATTCTAGCAGACTTCATGGTAGCGTCGTCGTGCCGCATGTTCGCCAGGAAATACGGAAAATGGTAGCTTCCAGCAGTGTTTCCACCATGCGTGGATTGACACAGCGTCCCTGACTGAGCGTCCGTTGTTGCTTGCGTAGGCTCTCGGATCACGGTCTGCGCCACAACTTTTTGCTCCATTTGCTTAACTTATGGGACAACTCGCTGCTGAATTCGCGCGCAATCATTGACTGCATGCTGATCGTTGATCAAAACGAGGTACGCGATAGCCCCATCTTCCTGTCCTGTCACTAGGCTAATGATGCAACTTTTGACTGCACAGGAAACGGAGACGGCGACGGACAACGAGTCGAAAGTCGAGGCCTCGGCGAACGGGGAGAAGGCCCAACAGGCGGGAGTAGAGGCTTAGGCGAGTGCACACGAGTCATGAACCCGCAAGGGTCCGTGTGATGATCTTTGTTTAGTTTGTGCACGCAGTGCTTACGAACGTGGAAGCGCTTCCTGATCACACTGCTCTCGGCGAGTCCGCGACAGCCGATGTCGGAATACAGAGGTACTTCTCCCTTCACTACGCCTTGTCTGTGCAGCATCTTCACGATCTCGTCGTCACCCTCCTCGCTCGATCGGTGCACGTGCCTTCTCTTCCTCCTCGTCGTTCGAAGCTGATGGAGGGGGCAGTCGCTTTTTCGACCTCGTGCGACGCGAGATCGCGTGCTTGCAGTCCTGTTGTCGGCCATGACCCGAACCATCGCAGCCACCCGCATCGTCGCAGTCGTCCGACCCGTCGTCGCTGCTTTCGCTCGAGCTCTCGCCAAACTCTTTCTTCCTGTGGAAAACGCAGCACTCTACAGCAAACACCGCAATGAGGTTCCAGTGACTCCAAACACTTTGTTCGCAACACAGTCAGTCAAAGATCGATCGTACTCTTCGAGCGTCTGCGTCCAAGGTGCTCGTTGTCCACGACGCTGTCGTCAAACGTCACGTGCGCTCGCGGCTGCAGTTGTATGTTGTACCTACGAGCTGCGTCTGCTGCTGGCGGCGGCGGCTGCAGCGTCGCCACTTCCGTCGCGACGTCTTCGCGTGCGATGCGATTCATTTTTGTCGTTTCAGCGGTCGAAAGTCATGTTATGGGACAATATTTCCTCTTCGCCGCTGGACTCGTTAAGTACGTACGGACTTAACCATGCAGCGGGTTGTTTCATACAGTCTCGTCAACGCGCGACGACGACCGAAGGAACGCGGCGAAAACACGAATGATGCACACTCGCGATTTCAACTGTGCGCCCGCATATATTGTATAAAACAATCCACGCTCTAATGGACTGTGTTGGTACTCTATTGTTGTTTTTGTGCACCGCACGGCGCTCGCTACTTGCCGTGAAAATACGCTTCGCACTGCGTCGCTTTGGACCAGTCCCGCTTGCGCTTGTCACCGCACGCAGCATAGAGCTCACACATGTGTGTCACTGTGCTATGGCAGGCGAGTGGATTGTCGCGTCGACACTCAATCTCCTGCACCATTCCCCCGAGCTCGTCGACCTGTGGAACGATATCACGTCGGGGCTTGACAGTCAACACGTAGTCACGGATTGACTCATCGTCGACGTCGAACCGGCCGCGTGTGTACAGCAGTCCAGGCCCGGAGAACGACACAGCAGGTGTGTGGGTCTTGGCACCCACCATAGCGGCCATTGCGCCTCCGAGACTATGGCCCGTGAGAACGAGGCGGGTCCCAACGCGCTGTCGCACAGCACTCACGTGGTGCAGCAACTCGGAGTACACGGGAGGAGGCATGACAGCTCGCAGGAACGTCATGGAGAGCATCTCGACGACGAATTGACTGGGCAGCTGCTTCAAGAACGGGACAAAGATGTTGGCTGCCTGCATGATGCTCACGCCGAACCAGTAGTGGAGATCCTCGAGCGCATCCGTTGCTGTAGCTGTTCCTCGAACGGCGATGACAGTCATGTTGATCGTGGGGAAGTAGAGCTCGGCCCACACTTGGTGGTTGGCTGCTTCGTCGTTGCGCGAGACGTACTGCCAGTCCCCGAGCTCCGTGCCGTTGAAACGTTGGCCAAACGACCGCATTTGCACTGCTGTGTTCCAACCGTAAATGGCGTCTGCGATGAGGGCGAAATCCACGATGTCGAGCGACTCCAGGTCCAGTGCGCACACGGGATACTCCGCGACCTTTGACCAGTGCAGTGGTGATAGTGGCGACTTCAACGTGAACGGATTGGCTGGAGCAAGCCGAGAGTGTGCCGTCGGCGGATGTACGAAGAAGTCCCCCCCGTGAACGAAAGTTCCAATGGCCCATGTCGACGAAAAAAACACAAATGACAGAATGACAAAGAACGTGATGAAGGACTTGAATGTAAGGCCGAAGATCTGTGCAAATGACAACAGCGCGATGAGTGATCGCTCGACAATACAAGCGAACGATGGCGTGTATCGTACCTGAGGGAACTTGGCCTGGATTGTGTCGCCGAGCAGGATGAGGCAGACACCCATGATGCCCCAGCCAGCATAGAATGCGTAGAACGAGATGATGGCACTCACAATGACCATGGGGCACAAGATCCGTAGCCGACGATCGTACGAAAACTTCGACCAGAGGTTCAACTCACGCAGGCGCTCGCCAATGTTGCGAATGCGCTGCTTTCCTTCGAGAGCTTCCTGTGTCTCGTTGGCGTCCTCAATCGGGTTGCACGTGCCTTCAACAAATACTTCCGTCTTCAATTCTGCTTGATAGCGTACGCCATCACTGGGTTGTAGCGGTTGATCTTCTCCGTCAGTTGTTGCTGCCGTCGCACAGTTTGTTGCTGATTCGCAAACGCGACATCTCTTGCGGACACGCCCACTGAGCTCGAAAATCGCTTCAACAAGCGTGAAGAAACTGGTCTGGAATTGCTCTACTGCACGGAAGCCAATGCTGACGAGCCAAAGGTGCTCTGCCCGCTTCTCGTTCTCCGTCTCAAGTAGCTCTCGCTGCATGTCGCGATATCTGCGACGATAGTTGCTGACAAACTCCCTCATTTTGCGGTTTCTCGCGCTACAAAAGTGACAGATCATCCACAGACCCAAGTACAGTGCTTGCATGTAGAAGCCACACTGAATATAGTCGAGGAAAGCTGTCAACGGCGACAGGTTGGCAACGAGCGAGACCATGAAGGTCCACAGCGTGACAAACTCGAACACGAATGGACAGATCACGTCCGCGATCACGAGCGTGGAGAAGTCCAGCGGCGGGCCGTCAAAGTGCGTAGTGTTGAACTTGACCGTCGTGCTTGCCACGTGGAACGCACGTTTCCATCGGGACGATGGCAAGTCGTTGCTGCTGCTGCTGCTGCTTTGACTGCTATGACTGCTGCTACGGCGACGCACAAAGTGACAGCTGGGCTGGTCTCCCCACTTCTCGCTGTGTTGTCGCTGAAACAGCAACTCGAGTTCATACCGTCGCTCGTCTTCTGACTCCTTGTCCACGTCATTGAACGGATCGTTCGTGTAGATCGCGCTCAGCAGGTACCTCGGCCCCGCTGTGATCCAGCTCACCAGACGTGTCCACGCTTCGTGGTCCTTATCGTCTCGTCTGAACACGTCAAACTGTGCTCTCTCGAGTCGATCGTCCGGCATTGCACGCCAGTGGCGCAGGTAATGGATACAGACGCAGAGCGAGAGACGAAAGTTGGCCAGACTGCCTTCTCGCGTATCAATCGCGTCGAGGAAGAGCCGACTCGACTCTTCGAAGCAATACGACAAAAACACGAGCGCAAGCGGCAGGAGCGCAAGCAGCACAATGGACCGCAGTGTGAAGTACGGATCCAGTCGGGCGCTGGGCAGGAAAATGGCAAAGAAGATCTCCATGAGGAGCGTCACGCTGAACATGAGGATGCAGATGAGCACGAGGAAGGAAAAGTAGCCGAGTCGGAACTGACACAACGTGCGGTACAGCATCCACTCGGCCTGCTCGCTCGAGAGCTGCTGCAGCTCCGCTCGGCGCCCTACCCGCGTCGCCATGCGGGCATCGCAACCCGCTGCCTCGGGGCTGTCCATGGGTATCACTGGACGACGGCGCCGTGGCGACACCCATGGGTTCAAAGCCGAACCGGTTTATGGGCGGTATCTACCGCTCGGAAGTCCTGAAGTGGTATGAATGCGGATATGCACGTTGCTGCTCATATCGCAGTTATGATTGCTTTCGAGCGAGGATCGCGGCATATCGCATGCATTTTCACCGACAGTACAAGATTTGAGAGAAGCATGCGGGTCCTGATCGCCCGAGCGGGTCAGCACATGCTGCGCAACGGCCGTACATTGTCCACCAAAGCGCAGAGCCGCGTGACGATCATCGGCTCCGACGACGCGTACACGAAGATCACGACGGTATGTGTCGTCTGCCACTCATATGTGTGTGTCTACATATATGTTGCAAAAGATCGGGTGTGACGCAGTTGTGCGGTCGTTGTTGTTGATTGTTGTTGTAGGAGGGAACGGGACGCCGGGCGGTCGTGTACTTCACAGCCAAGTGGTGCCCGCCGTGCAAGATGATTGGTCCTGTCTATGATGAGCTAAGGTGGGCGAACCCACGTGATACATTGTGTACAATGCATTGCATTGTGGACAAGGGTTTAACGGGAAAGCTGTTCGTGGCTACGCAGTGCCAAGTACAAAGACATTGACTTTGCTAAACTGGACGTCGACGAGCTCAATGAGACTACTTCCAAGGCTGGCGTGCGCGTCAGTGGCACTGTTTCGGTGGTATAGGATGAGTGTGGGCTGTCTGGTAGACTACTGATCGTGGGTGTTTGATGTCGTCCACGTGTAGTCGATGCCGACGTTCTTCTGCTTCAAGGATGGCAAGTTCCAGCAGTCGCTCTCGGTACACGATGGTGAAAGTGCGCGTGGTCATGCAAACTCTTGTCTTACTTTGCATCGTTGTTGCGTTGCAGTTTTCTGGTGCAGACGAAGACCTTTTGCGTGCGAACGTGAAGCAGCTGAATGACCTTTAGGTCTTCTTGCCGCCAAAGTCGTTCCGGCAAAAGTACTTAGCTGGTTCGTCCACGTTCGTCACCCGTCCGCCGTTGCTCAAGTAGAAGTGTGCATCCGTCTCAGCCATGCAGGCAGGTTCGCAGCGCCAGCGGTGCTCTGACAAGCTAAAGGTCTCCATTCAGTACAACATGTGGTCAAACTGAGTGCAGAGCTTGTCAAAACGCGTACGTCGTGCCCCTGATTCGCGTATGACCTGGTCTATCATGTTTGACAGACCAGGCCACTCATGACCGATTCGACGTGATGCATAGACTGTCCTCACGGACTTGACACGATCATGCAATGCCAAGACCAGCAGAAGCTACTTGCAACAAAGCTCGAGCAAGAGGGATCGATGTGCGGTGATCGCCTGTCGTGGACAGTACGTGGAACGATCACGCTCTGGCCCCGCCGGAAGTCCTCGCTCGTCATGAGGTCGGACATGCATCGATATCGATGTCTGGCTGAACAATCGCCAACTTGTACTGCATCATTGCCTCCGACTTTGTTATGTATACCTGGTGGACACACATAGGTCATGAGCGTAAGAAGGAGAAAGCGATCGTGACGAATGGATTCAGACACAAGGAGCAGATGATGCCGCGTACTTACCACGTCTTCATGACACGTCTATGCGTCGAAACGTCCACTTTAGTCATTAGGTTCGGGCTCAGAAAGAAAGGGCGGACCGGCGTCGCAGTAGTGGCCTGCTATGTTTACGCGCCTCCTGTATGGGATGTCTCAGGGATCAGTGTCCGGACATGCTCGTCTATCTGATCAGACCCAACACAGATGTGGCTGGTGAGCTGATCGCACCCAAACTCGCACCGATCGGTTCTTCTCTCGGTGTGCGTGCGTGAGAGAGCAAGTAAAGCGAAAGTCGATTGTCGCGCAGACTCGTCAGCGCTGCCTTTGACAAGTCGTGTCGCTTGTCCAGTCGACCCAGATACGCCAATGCACGAGGCCACTTGCACCACAATTCACTGGAAAGTTGCAGGACGAGACGATCCGCAAGCACGATTCGCACCGATTCGTAGCAACCCCTCGTCACGAGCGTTGCTTCTCCCTTGTCCTCAATCGACCGGACCTCACGACATCTTTCTACTGCTCGAGCGTCCAAATCCACGCGAGACTTGCTTCCGAGTGCTCGCTGCGTCACTCATAGCGAAGAACGAGGAAGGCTCGTGTCGTGCCACGCTGGACTCGACTGGTTCCACAATACTTACTGGTCAGGCTCCAGCGAACAAACCGCACACTCCAGTCACCATCCTATCCACACCTCCGCCCTCCTGTCCACTGGAGTCAAAAAAAGTACCAATCCAGCTCGGAAAAAGTGGGCACGAAGTAGACTGTAGTCCTCCACACGAGGAGCTACACACCGCACGTGCTCCTGATAGCAGTCGTACCAAACTCAGCCGATCCAACAAATCTTTTCCATCACCACTTGCAGTCTTTTGGCCCCCTCGGAAGCGACCGCCGGCGCTCCTCCCCGTCCGCCCCTCTCCTCGTTCAATCCAACACGTCCCTCGAGCTCCTTCAGCTATGGCGGACAAGAACCAGCGCTACGGAGCCGTCCCGAGCCACGCGCGACTCGGCATTGGCGCCAAGACGCCACCGCTCAGTCCGCTGATGCTCCACGTGAACAAGCACACAAACGCCCTCAAGGGATGGGAGTTCCCTGGATGGGGCGACAACGCGTCAACAGTCGCAAGCGAGAGCGAGTTGAACGAGATCCAAGCGCAGCTGTCGATGGACCACCCGAAGCTCTCCGAGTGGCTCGCGACTGCCATCTGCGGGAACGACATCTTGTCGAGCTGTCTGTACGTCTCGGGCCTTGTGGCGTCCAAGGCGGGGAAACTAGCGCCAGTCGCTCTGGCCATTGTCGCCGGTATCCTGTACCTCTACCGGTTCATCTACGGCGAAGTGCTGAACGCGGTGCCGCTCAACGGAGGCTCGTACAATGTGCTGCTGAACACCACGTCCAAGCGCGTGGCCGCAATGGCCGCGTCGCTCGCGCTCTTGTCGTACATTGCAACGGGTGTGGTCTCGGGCACATCGGCGTGCAACTACTTGACGTCGCACGTGCTGTCGATGGAGGTCGTGCCGGCTACTATTGGACTGCTCCTTCTCTTTGCACTGCTGAGTCTCGTTGGCATCACGGAAAGTGCCGTCGTGGCGCTCGTGATCTTCATCGCCCATGCTACGACGTTAGCAGTGCTCTGTCTCCTGTCGATGGCGTACGTCGTGAAGGACGACTTCCGCACGCTACAAGCAAACTTTGCCACGGGCTTCCCGGACATTAACCTCGCGGGCGAAACCATGTCGGGGAACTTCCTCACTGCGATCTTCTTTGGCACGTCGTCTGCGATGCTCGGGATCTCTGGCTTCGAGTCGTCGTCGCAATTTGTCGAAGAGCAGGCTGATGGTGTCTTCCCAAAGACCCTGCGGGTACGTTGTGTGCGCAAACTTGTGTGTGATTGACGCCACTCGTTGGTTTCATGACTTACTCATTGTGTCTGTCTGCTCGGATCGTGATGGCTAGAACATGTGGTGGGGTGTGGCGATCTTCAACCCGATGATCGCTCTGCTGTCCCTTGGCGTGTTGCCACTGTATGGCCCCGGGGGGATCGTCGACAAGAAGGACACTGTCTTGGCTGAAATGGGGCTGAAAGTCGCAGGCGAGAAGATGCAGATGGTGGTCGCGCTCGATGCGTTCATCGTGTTGTCGGGTGCAGTGTTGACTGCGTACGTTGGCGTTGTCGGCCTCACGCGTCGACTGGCCAGCGACCGCGTGCTGCCCGACTTTTTGCTGCACGTGAACAAGGCGCGCGGCACGAACCACTTTATCATCATCGGGTACTTCCTCGTGGCCACCAGTCTCGTGCTGATCTTGCACGGGGACACCGCAACTCTCTCGGGTGTCTACACGTACGCCTTCCTGGGCCTCATGACGCTGTTTGGCATTGGCTGCATGCTGCTCAAGTTCAAGCGCGCGGAGATCCCGCGCACAGTGATCGCGCCCTGGTGGAGCTGCATCTTGGGCGTGTCGATGGTGATGACCACGTTCATGGGCAACTTGCTCGGCGACCCCACGATCCTCACGTACTTCTCGCTGTACTTTATCGCCGTGCTGGCACTTGTGTACATCATGTTCGAGCGCACGTTTTTGCTGCGCATGTGCCTCTACTGCATGCGTCGGCTCTGCCCCTCGCAGCGCAACAACAGCGAAGGAGAGACGCACTCGTTGCGAACGGGGGCGCGTGGCGGCCAGACGATCGCGCGGTTCATCCGCGTGATCAACGAACCGGCCGTGTTCTTCTTCTGCAAGACCCCGAGCCTCAACGTCATCAACAAAGCCATTCTGTACGTGCGCACGAACGAGCAGACGCACACGCTGTTTATCGTGCACTGCCACGCGCGCGGAACGGACGTGCCCGAGGGCTTCAAGGAGACCGTGTCCATGTTTGACCACGTGTACCTGAAGATTAAGCTCAACTTCCTGAGCGTCGAAGGCTCGTTTGGACCCGCGATGGTCGAGTGGGTCTCCCGCAAGTACAGCCAGCCCAAGAACCTCATGTTTATCAAGCAGCCGAACTACGACTTTGCCCATACCATCGCCGCGCTCGGCGGTGTGCGCGTGATTACGGGATAAGTGGCCGCGATACGGTAGCGGTAAAAGGGGTATGTATGGCGGCCCGGATTGCGCGTGTGTACCCCCGTCAGAAAAGTTGCTGAGTTTGTTCGAGTGGAGAGACGCGTCGCGCGATGCCATATCTTGGCACAAGACGTGATGGAGGAAGCTGATGACGAGCAGATACTGCAGTCCCCCCGCGCTCGTGTGTCCACACGCCTTGTAGCATCTAGAAATCCAACCAACAGCTTCTACACGAGAGGAAACCGTCCGAGTGGTGGGTTTTCCAATTGAGTTTGTCCACGGCAACGACGAAAAGGACCTCAGTTGTGTCTGCATAGGAACCGAGTGACCTGACCTGACCTGACCGTGACACCACAGCACATCGTTAGCAAAAGCACTACACACCTTCACGACGAGGGCAAACAAAGCGTCGTGCCCAGCATAAGATCGACGTTCTAAGTTATGTTGCAAAAAGAGAGGAAAAACTGTACACGTCAAGCATCGCCTTCCGTTCCGGCGGCGCTTGGCTGAAGGGAGAGAGACGCGCTCAGGACGCTAGACCTCCTCAGTGATAGACGCGAGCTGCGGCGGACGTCTGGGCTGTCGCGTCTGCGTTGGCACACAAAAGCGCGCTTCAGCCTCTTCGAGCTTCTTCACGCGCTTGGCCGCTGACGACAAGTGCACCTTTCGCAAGCGCAGGCGGCTCTCGGCACGATGCGGACGTCCGCCTCTCGAGAAACTACCGCGTGTAAAGTTCAATAGCTCATGCAGAGCAACGCCAGGGTCCGAGTGACGGCACGCGGACGAGCTCGTCTGCTGAGCGGACGTCGCTCGTTCCCATCCCGACGTGAGACTCTGACGCGCTGTCGGCGCCGCCGCAGTGCATCGTGTGTACGAACGCTGGACGTTTCGACCAGGTCGAAGAGCAGTCGGCGTGGTAGCACAACGCTTCACGGCTGGACCCCCTCGCAGCTGGTGGTCCTGCTCGTCTGGACCCCACGTGTCCACTACGCTGCCCGTGTCTTCGACCCGAGACTGATCTACCGTCGGACCAGCTACGCGCTCGTCACTAGTGGGTGTCCACGCTTCCGAGCAGCTACGCAAGGCCTCGTCCCGGTCGTGCGCGTCCATGCGGCCTACTGTAGACGACGGCCGACCCCGCTGGACGCCACCCATCGACTGTCTCGTCTCCTGCTTCCTCTTCGTCATCGCCATCACCGTCTGCTCCTTGTCGCCAGCAGCTTTTGCGCTTGGCTCGGCCTCGGCTGCCATGTCCACGTTCAAGTACGTGTAGCGCATGTCGTTCACCATGAGGAACTTGTCCATCAGCGCCCGCGTCTGACACGTCATGCTCTCGCGACACGTCCGCGCGTGTTTCGTCACGCCGTCGAGGAAGTCCGTGAGCCCCACGCGCCGCCTTTCGAGTGTCTTGGCGCGCATGTTGCCAAACAGTCGCCGATGGGGGAACAGCACAAAGCACGTGCGCGTCGACATGATGGCGCAGTGGGCGCACATGTCGCGATTGGCGATCGCGTCCTCGAGCGCGAGCTTCAGGTTGCGGAACTCCGAGTAGCGGCGGTAGACGGCCCAATGGAGACCCGGCGAGCGCTCGTCCGACACGCGCACGAGGAACTGCGTGTACGTGTGGGCGTCCGAGGCCGTTGGCTTGGCGACGTGGGCGATCGTCGTGTGCAGCACGCGCTGTGGCGCGGGCGTCGTCAAGAGGCTCTGCATGACCATAGCGGCGTCTACTGCCTCGCGACGAAATGCGGAAATGAGGAGAAGAGGGCGGTCTCGAAAGCAGAAAGCCGAGTGATGGCAACGAAGTAGCAATAGCAGCAGTTGAAGTAGCAGTAGCAGTAGCCGCAGACCGCAGACGGCAACCGAGCGAGGAAGCAAGGGATGGAGGGGCAAGTGTGTCGAAACGGAAATGAAACGTCCCACCAGCTGCTGCGGAAGTTGCAGCGGAAGTTGCCGATATAAAAGACGAAGGCGGGGCACGCTTCGTTCGCGTTTCCCCTGGCAAAAGCAACACTACTCGGCGTCCGAGTCGAGCGTTTCTCTGTCACACTGTTTTTGTACTCGGACCTGTTGTTTCCGAGCTGAGGACAGCTGGAATATCTGAGACACCTGTCGACAGGTATCCGTATAGATGAGATCACGTGTCCATCACTCTCCCAGGTTGAGCCCTGGGAAAGGGCGATGATACACTGAAAGAGAGCGATAGAGCGAGACCCTGGGGGGGGGCTTGAGGGAGGGATTTGCGCTGACGGATGGATGGCGGCTTCGCGGTCGCAATGGCCCCACTGTGGCCGTGGCCTATAGCGTTGCGGTAAGCGGCGACATGTTGGGGCGACGGCAATGCCTTTGGCGCGAAACTTCTTTGATTGGCTCGTTCAGTCTCGACGGTAGTTTCGTTGCGCGTGACGAGTAGACGACGCGAATGTCTTGTCGTCGCAAAAGTGTCTACAGCGTCGGCATTGCACATGGAACGAAGCTCGTGAATAGACAGTAGTAGCCACGAGTCGAAAGGGCCCGCTCAACGAGCTCGTGGGACAGTCGATCGAAAGGAACATCTTGCACATCTTAACATGTAAATAGACGATCATGAAACTCCTCCACAGTCGATCGAAAGGAGAAGCGCATCCTGATGCTTGCGCCAGGGTACGCGTGTGTCATCTGTGACACGTGCGCGTGTACACACAGCGTGAATGTAGCAGACAGTTTCAGGTTCAAGCGATATATCGCCACATCGTCTGGGGCACGGCATTCCGTGTAACTTCAACGTCGCGCGAGTTCAACTTACAATCAACTGCAACACGGTAAACGTTGAGAAACGCGAAGCAATCGGGTAAAGGATCGCTTTGCATGGCGGTTCAGGCGCCCCACACACCTTTGCTCGTCCGTGCAGAGCACTGAGCCAAAAAGCAGTTGCATAGGGTGCGCGTAACGCCATACCTGGTACCACCTAACCCGACTGGACGTACACGCGGTACGCTCCCATTTGCTGCTTCAGTACAGTGGCCCCCTGGCATTTTACTGCTCCAGTACACTTGTCGAAAGCGTGTCCTGTCTGCTCGGGATACAGAGCGAGGGAACTGGCTCTCCAAGTGGCTTCAACTGATCGATACAATCTGCGAGTCGGTATGGTTGCCTTTGTTTCTTGTTGAAGTGGCCACACATTTCAAAGGTTGGCGACTGCTTTTCGTGTGGCAGCACGTTGACAGCCAACGTGGCTCACTCACTACAGTAGTGACGTCACTCGCTATCTTCAACGTGGGTGAGGTGGTCTCCGCGTCGTACAGATGGAGGTGTCAAGTGCGCCATCCAGCGCCGCTCAAGATCTTCGCGTTCGATCGAGCTCACTTTTCTGCTACCACACTAAGTACACCTTCAGACTCAGCCGCGACGGCGTCCGGAATGATCTCCTCCAGGCGCTCGAGAGCTGCGGCTTGCACCACATACAGCTTCTTCTCTTCCTCGATAGCCTCTTGGAACTCGCCGACAATCTTCAGCAGCCCTTCCTGCTTGATGTTCACTGTAGCAAACACCTGCGCAGCGTCGTAGCCTGCGTCGCGGCACGCAATGTAAGCGGCTGCGTACGCCACCATAAATGGCGGGTACAGAATAATAATGTCCGTCCGGTACGAGTACTGTATTAGTTGCCTACAATGGATCAATACCACCACAGAACAGTAGCACAACAACAGTACGTTAGTAACTTGCAAGAGCCCTTGCAACAGACGACCGTCTCGACCATGCGAGCTGGAGACACTCTTCGTGAATGTCGAACTCGTCGAGTAGTCTGTAGCCACAGCAAAGCGGAAGCACTACGTCAGAGGTACCATAGACAAGTCAGTACATACGTGGGTTGTACGACGTACTGGAGGAGAGACGGGAACGGGTGGTGCAGGATGAGGTCAAACTGCAGTGCTTCGATCACGTAAAACTCGCACTCGAGGATGTCCTTGTCCTGGAACGTGTACATGGACTCGTCTTCGTCCACGCCATCTATAGAGCCCCAGTGGCACACAACAGACGCCACCCGTGGACTCGTCAGCAACGAACGCCGTTCAATTGCTATTCCCCCTTAGCACCACGTCATGATGTACTTGTGGTGTAATGGTGCAGCACCGACGTCACTGTGGTCAGCGACAGCTGACTCTCCTCGACTTTCGACGCGAGGAAGAACACTGTTCCAACGACGAGGTGGGGGTCGAAGTTCACAAAGCTCTGTCTAAACAATACAAACACACATACAGACACACACACGTGTGTGTCAGCCACTTGTCACACCCGCACGAGCAACGCAATGGGTATCTGAGCCTTCCTACGTCAGATAGAACCGACGGTAGAAGACAATTGCAGTGTAAATGATAATCTGCCGAACCCGTAGCCGGGGTCCGATCTCTTCCAGCACTAGCAGGTCAGCACCCATACAAGACGACCGTCAACACTGCTACGGACTCCTCCTGTACCTCGCTGTAACGGCCTCTAGAAATGAATAATCACAATAGAAACTCACGAGAAATGTTCGCGAGATGGATACTGTCGATCTCGTCGTCCGTCAAGTGCTTGCGGTCCAGCGGATTCCTCTTGCGCAGATCGGCTTTGCTCACGTCTTTCATCCAGTACAAACTGCATACCCCCACGAGAACAGCACATCCACAGTGACAACAAGTGAGCAAAAAGTGAGCGCAACAGGCGGTCGTAACATGTGGGTACAGACAGACCCACTTACTAGTGCGTCGAGTGCCAGAAATTCATGCCCATGCTGCAAAGTGCTTTGTTTTCAGCACGTTGTAGTCAAGCGACTGGAAGGTACGTAAGTGGTCGACACCAACTAAAGCCTTTTCTCTCTGAATGAATCAGCGAACCAAATCACGCAGTATCATTTGATTTCGCAGGTCAAGCGTCTTATCCGGTACGTGTACGAACGAACGTCACTGAAAAGCTCACTCGTTCCTGTGCAATGGTCGCGTCTCTGCTCCTTCTCATCTCGTGCCTCTCTGTGCTGGTACAGGCCGAGCGACCTGCGGTACATTATCAGTACGATGACGATCTGCGTGAAGACACGGACCGCCAGTCGCCCGTGATCGTGCACAACGACAACAACGACAATGTATGGGACGTCATGCGCGACGAAGAGGCTGCGTTCTTACGTGATGCTGTCGCGAAGACGGACGCTGCAGAGCCAGAAAATGTGGTACTGACTGCATCGCCTGCGCTGCTGGAAGACGGCGAGGATCTGGTGATCTCCTGGAGCGGCGTGACACGTCCCCATGCTACGGACTTTGTAGGGCTCAGCTGCGGTCCGCAAGCGCACGAAGCGGATTTCCTCGTCAAGGCCGGCGTTACTGTAGCCACTGGACCAGACGTGGCGGACCGCGAGAGGCTACAGACGGTCCGCTTCTCGTCCTTGTACATGATGCGGTGCAACTATTCTGTCGAGTACTTTAACTTTCAGCCTCGTGCCAACGTCTACGCTCGACTTGGGAAGCTGCAAGTCGGCATGACTGAAGCGTTTACGGCGCCAAAGCACGGGCACATTTCATTCACCGACGAGATTGACGAGATGTCAGTAATGTTCAACTCTGCATCTCGAGAGGTTCCAGTGGTCAAGTACGGCCTCGACGCCTTTGCGTTGGATCAGCAGGCAGAGGGCACGTCGAAGACGTACACTGCTGCTCACTTGTGCAGTCACCCAGCGAACCGCAGTAGCCAGCAGTGGTTCCGAGACCCTGGTAATATGCACAGAGTTGTATTGAAAGGACTGAACGTGGGAACGAGGTACTTTTACAAGTTTGGCAGTGACAAAGATGGCTGGAGCTCAGTGTACTCATTCATGAGCCGCCCAGATGCGTCAGTGAAAAGCGCCAAGTTTATCGCGTACGCCGACATGGGCGTGTATTCTGCACCCGCGGCGATTTCGACGGCTGTGCGTTCGTACCAAGACGTTGTGGACGGTGGTTACGACAGCTTTCTCTTGCACTTTGGCGATATCAGCTACGCCCGGGGCCATGCACACGTATGGGACGAATTCTTTCACGTCATTGAGCCACACGCCACTCGAGTGCCGTACATGGTGAGCATTGGCAACCACGAATACGACTACATGGCGGGCGGAGCGAACGATCCCAGTGGGGCTACGGGGGCAGATGGAAGGATGGACTTTCACCCAGACTGGGCCAACTATGGCAGCGACTCGTCAGGCGAGTGCTCGGTGCCAATGTTCTACCGCTGGGATGCCCCTGCTAATGGCAATAGCATCTACTGGTACTCATTCGACTATGGTGGGATCCACGTTGTCCAGATCTCATCAGAGCACGACTGGCGCCGTGGATCGAAGCAATACACGTGGCTCGAGAATGACTTAAAGAGTGTAGACCGCAATAAGACACCATGGGTTGTTCTTACATCCCATCGGATGATGTACACAACTCAGCTCGGCGAGGAAGCCGACTACAAGGTGGCTCAGCACTTTCGCGACGAGGTGGAGGACCTGCTTTGGGACCACAGGGTCAACTTGATGCTGGTGGGTCACCAGCACTCGTACGAGCGTAGCTGCGCAGTGCGTGACGGGAAGTGCACCGAGGACGGTCAGGGGCCCGTCCACTTCGTGATTGGATCTGCAGGCGCCGGCTTGGAGAAGCAAGGGTTCTCGAACAAGTTGGGCGAGTGGAGCGTGAGCCACGTGAACGACTGGGGCTATCTCCGCATCGACTCGACCGAGGAGTCCATGCGTGTGCAGTTCGTTCTCAACCGCAACGGCGTTGTCTACGACGAGGTGACGCTGGCTCCGTGGAAGTAGCGAACATCGTAGCGACATCATCGTGCGTGTCGTTGTAAACATACGCAATGCGCTTCGAGTAGGAAGCGGTAATGCATGGTGGCACGCGTGCAAACCGATTGATCAGTCACCAGGTTTGTATTATGTATCGTCGATGTGTCGGTCATTCAGCTAGTCTACCAACCGCTCGCTGCGTCTACAAGTCCCGGTCTATCACTCCGTCCTCATCGTCTTCCGCCGCTTCTGTGGACTTCTCGCTCTCGTCGTCATCCTCGTCTAAAATCTTGGCAAACTTGGCGTCTTGGTCCTCGTCACCTTCGTCGTCCTCGTCGTCCTTGAGCAGGTCCTCGAGATCCGGCACCTTCACAGCATCGATGTTATCCTGGTCCTTCTGCGACATATCGCTCAGGAGCTTGCCGCTGTAAATATCGTCCGTAAACTGCTTCGTGAGCTCCATGTAGTCGTCAAAGTCCGTCGGCTGGTTCTTCACCCAGACGCAGAAGCAGACAAACGCGACCAGTCCAACAACTCGATAGATGCGCTCCGACGGTTCCGTCGAGCGTAGCGAGTACAGAGGCACGAACGAGTCCACGACCGAGAGGTTGTCGTCAAAAATGTTGGGCAGGAGCCAGTACTCGTAGCCAATCATCCACAGGATGAAGAAGATGACGAGGCGCACGACGACAAAGATCGCGACAAAGATCAGGAACGTGACGGACAAGTACCACAGCGCGACCTTGGCCCACTGCGGCCAAATGGGGAAGCACGTGACCGTGAAGAAGCTAATGATCAGCAGCGCAGTCAAAATGTTGCGGAAGGTCTTCGACCCCTCGTACATCCACGTGTAGTACCCATCCGGCGTAAAGACCTGCTTGGTCGTGGGCTTCAGCAGCTTCTTGTTGTTCGCGTCGCGCTCCGAGCGGTGAATGTAGCCATTCTGCACCAGCGCGTGGCCCACTGTGTGCACGTCTTCCTTTGTCTTGAGCTCTGGAAAGTACTTCTTTGCCATGGGGCTCGCCAGCAGGAACGTGGCCAGACGGTCGCCGCGAAAGTACTCGACGCGCTTGCCCAGCTCCACGGCGTGGCGCGACGGCATGCCCTTGCGGCCGCGCAGGAGGTCAGCCATCTTGCGCACGCCCTTCTCCGTCTCCCACGGCTTGTCGGCGGTCTGGGCGTCACAACACACAACACAAAGAGAACAGGCGCGTCAGTCTCGTACTCGGCACCTGAGACCTGCGCGCGCGCCCCTCTCTCCTCGCTCTCCACGTTGCGAGTGAACGTGGGCGGCAGACGGGGCGAGCAGTGGGACAGAGACAGTGTACGTACGGAAGACGCGGCGTCCCTCGTCGACTCGTCGTCGCTCATGCTATGTATGCTGTTGTTCCCTCCGCTCGGGCGCTCCTGACTTAACGCGTGGCCTTTTTCGTAATGACTGCTCCGTGGCACCATCGTCGCGTGCCCCCTGAAGTCGCAACCGCTGTGTAACGTCCATCCATCGCCTCTCAATCGGCAACACCGTGACGTGGCTACCGCAACGTTATTTGCGGTCGCGGCGGGCCCGTTTCTATACCGCTGTGGCTTTTCGAGCCATCGATCCACCCAGATTGGCTCGCCCATCGGTGGATCCACCCGCCCCGATCTGCTCCACCATCGGTGGATCCACCCACTCACCCACTCACCCACCCGCTCATCTCCTCCACCCCACCCACTAAGAAACAATTCGAACCCTAAGTAAAAAGAAGCAGAAAAAAAACAATAGCTCACAAAGTGTCGCACTCGCGCACTTAAACCATTCGCATGAGCTCCTCGGGCCTCGAGCGTCCGCGCTTCGTGTACCCAGGGGCGGGCTCGACGCTGCAGTTCCCGCTCACCGACTCGTCCGTGTCCTCCTCGAGCGACCCGTTCGCCCAAGGGGTCCGTCTGCAGGACGCGTACTTTGTCGCGCCGGCGTCGCACATTGGGCGCATCGTCACGGGCGTTGTGTTCCTCGCTGAGCAGAGCCGCCGCGTCGCTGGATCCAGCGGAGACGCTACCGACCGCTTTGGTCTGCCGGTCATTTCCTTTGCCGACAAGTTGGCCGAACAGGGCTACAAAGTGCTGGTGCTGGATCTCTTTGCGCCCGACGGGAAGGCCGTGTTGACAGCGAGCGCGACGCTCGAGCACGTGGCGCGCGTGCAACAAGCGTCGCTGTACCTCAAGAAGACGCATGACATTCAGCGCGTGGGCGTGTGTGGCCTCGGGGCCGGTGCTGATCTGGCCATCAAACTAGCGATCGAGCGATCGGTGCCGGTCGATTGCGTCGTGGCAATGTGTCCCAGAGGTCTCGTGCCCTTGGCGTGTACTGACATTGGAGAGAACGCACCGACAGCGGAGTCCGCTGGTATTCCACTGTTGCTGCAAGTGGGGGGAAAGTCGCCCTATGCTGCATCGGAAGCTGTACGGTCGAGTTGCTAAGGGTCTGGTTGAGACGTGCGTCTGCGACTAGAGGAGCTCACTGGGTTTTGTGTGCGTTGGTGTTTGTCGCTTGCATTGTGCTGCAGTACCGGACACTGCTGAGTTTATGTGCAGCGCGTTCACAGGCCGCCACAACAGCGCTCAAGGTGTCGCTGTTTGTAAACCAGCAAAGCGGCTTTGCGTTCTCCAACATCAAGGACGAAGACGCGGCTACACAGGCAATTGCAGAGATGCTGGACTGGCTCGTGCAGCACCTGCATCGCTTCAAGGTGGCTGCAGCTACTAGTGATACTGACCCGTGGTGGCCGCAAGGCCGCAACGGACCTTTTTGCAACGTGGGTTTACGCACATGGCAAGACTCGCGCGTAGCCTGGCTCACACCAACACAAACACGGTGCGTGGTTGCTGCTTTAGTTGATGCTGTTATACAGCACGTAATGAAGGGCGTTGTTTGTATTGACTGTGCACCTCTTTTCTCGCCTCTGTAGTCCACCGCGCCCGCCGCCAGTCCCTGCTCATTTGCTATTCGACGGGTTATCGTCAGTGCGCCGGACTTTTGAACTACCGCAGCGTATGCGCCTTGGTGATGTGATTGAACTCTTTGCTGAGATTTGGGACGTGCAACAATAGTCGCTGAGCTCACCACGAGTTTACAAAGCCAAACCAGTTATCCTGTCAACTTGTCAATCCACGCGTGTTAGTAGCTAACGTCTTTGTCCCGTTACTCATTTTGCGTGGTTTGTGATGCTCACTCACGTTGTTCTGTCGTCGTCGTTGCCATGTTGGACGGAAGACACAATGGATTGCAACAATTTGATTTGTTTGTTGGTTCCCGAAGATACAAGGCATCTCACGTGGTGGGCTCAATGCTGGGGTATCCAGGATGTGAATATTACCAACCTTGGAATGAAAGGATGCTTTGAGACAGGACTTCTGGCGCCTACAGGTGCAATCGTCTGGTCTAGCAGCGTTCGAGTGTTGGTGGAGCTGCTGGCATACGTAATTAGGCAACGATATGCGAAGCAGAAGGACGCGCATCATTGCCCGACAACACGAAATGGCTTGCGAGGACGCAAAGGGGAGGCAAACAACGCTTTTGAGGTGAAGATGGCGCAAACACGTTTGTAGGATTGAGACCAATATGTTTTGCAAAGAGACGGAGAAAGCTGGAAACGGGTAGACGCCTACTGAAAAGCGATGCCCACTGATGAGCGTGGTCAGCAGTTGAGGGAAGGGTCTTCCATTAAGCATGGCCAAGGACGTGATGCTGGTCAGGAAATGAAATGCAGCAAGAGAGAGCGCGAAGGGATAGAGCAGTCTTACTATCGTTTGGGCGAAGACGCGTAGGCATCGGTTGCCTAGAAGAATGTTACGCAAGCTTTGCTAGCCGACCCTGCTGTGGAAGAACGCAAACGAGGGGCTTGGATTGAGGCATGTCGATTGTTGGTCCCGACTCTAAGGTGTTAAACTTAAGCTGGACGAAGACGATGAGTAAGGTCAGGCGCAAACGGAGTTACCCAGCTGCAAAGCAAGATGGGTTACTTGAGCGGCGATGTGCTGACGCTTGTGAGCGAAACGGGCAGTACGTCACGCCTACAACACACTGTGTGTACTAACTTGCATAGGAAGCAGAACGACAAGGACTGCGCAACTTGAAAGGAAGGGACACTACTGTGAGAGCGACTCAAGACCCGATGTCATCGCTGTATGGCGTAAGCTTCATGCTGGCATCGAAGACCGCAGAACAACTGAGCGAGGAAAAGCGACTTGGCAACGAGAAGTTACGTAGTGAACTTGCAGTACAAGTGTCGCTGCAAGTTCAAATCAAAAGCATGTGTGCGACCTGGAAACAAGTAGCAAGTCACGCACATCAAGGTTCTGAGGGTCCGCAGGGAAGTCATGCACAGTAAGCAGACACTGAAGGCAGAATGCAAAGCTTGTCGGGTGCAGCGTGGTACATCGAATGAATGAGCACGTGGCTGGTGCTTGGACCAAGAGGGAGCAAGTTGAAGCTCAACTCAGCGCGAGATCGTGGAGGAAGTTGCGTCGTGTCAGAACAGGACCCTCTGGTGTCGAAGCTGCAGAGCAACCGGCGTTGTCGCTTCTCTTCCACCAGAGCAGGCTAAAATAGTCTGCTGAAAGAGAAGCGACGACGTGGTTTACAAACAGAGGTTCATGAATCTCAGGCGAAGTTGAAGCAACAGCAACTGCACAGAGCTGTCCGCTCGGGCATACCTCTGCCAGCTGTGTAGCAAGATGAGAAGCTTGTGGACGCGTCAGTGAAGGCAGAACTGGAACGGAGCTCATGAGTCACACGATCCGCTTGGCGCTGGAGGCACCGGTGCAACACAACAGCGCATGCGTGAGTTTTGGCAGACAGTCTTTCGAAGAGCTCAGTCCACAACAATTTGTACGAAACACTTCATTCAGTCAAACTGCCTACAGAGCTGATGCATCGTCCAGCGTACGCATCGTCTCCAAGTAGTTCCCTGGAATGTCAGTTCCTCTCACACGCTCTACAACTCATCCTTCTCCTCAACAGCATCGGCCTTCTCATCCACCTCGACATCGTCTGACTTGGTCGGATCGTCCAGGTCTTCAGCATCGTCGACGTCGTCGTCCACCACCTCCTCATCCTCCGGTACCTCGATTTCTGGCTCAAGTTCCAGACTGTCAACGCCCATGCTGGTCATCATGATGCGGCGAATGCGTGAAGAAAAGCTGTCGATGTCCGGTAAATCGAAGCCCGAGTTGATCAGCGTAGTGTCATACAGAAGCCACGCGAGGTCCTGCGTTTCCTTTTTCTGAGGATCGCTCGCCATCAATTCGTTCAGCTTGGAGACGAGCGGGTGACGAGGATTCAGCTCCAAAATCGCCATTCCTGCACCGTACATCGGGTGGTTCTTGTCCGTACCGACAAAAGTCTGCGCCTTCATGATGCGCTGCATGTTAGCAGAGTAGCCCCACTGGGACGTCACCATGACGGCCGGCGAGTTCACCACGCGCTGCGACATGACGACGCGAGATATTTTGTCTCCGTACAGCGACTTGAGCTCCGTCGTAAGCGCCGTATACTTGTCCGCATACAGCTGTTCCCGCTTCTGCATGAGCGACACATCCTCGTCGCCAAACTTCATACCCTCCTTCGAAATGGACACCAGCTTCTTCCCGTCGAAGTCGGGAATGTGCGTCACCATGTACTCGTCCAGCGCATCGATGAAGTAGATCACCTCCAGGCCCTTGGCGCGCATCTTCTCCATAAACGGCGACTTTTTGCACTCTTTCGTACTTCCAGCGGCAATGTAATAAATCGAGTCCTGCCAGTCTTTCATGCGACCCACGTAGTCCTCCAGAGACGTCAACTTGCCATCACTTTTGTTCGTCACGAAGCGTAGCAACTTGACCAGCTTGCCGCGATTAGCGGTGTCCTCCATAACACCCAGCTTGATGTTCTTGCCAAACTCCTCCCAAAACTTGTTGTACGACGCGTTGCGGTCTTCCTCTTCCTCCTCCTCGTCTTCCTCCTCACTCGTAGCAACCTCATCCGATTCCGTCGATGCATCAGATTCAGCATCCTGTGACTCATCCACAGTTTTCTCCTCCTCCTCCTCGTCATCATCCTCCTCCTCATCACTTTCGTCATTCTCAGCCAGTCTGTGCAGCATTTCCAATACTTTGCGGATAAGCTTTTTGCGGATAATGCGAAGGATCTTGTTCTCTTGCAGAGACTCGCGGGAAACGTTGATCGGCAAGTCGTCCGAGTCCACGACGCCGGCAACAAAGTTCAGGTAGCGCGGCAAGAAGTCATCGTAATCATCGGAGATCAACACCTTGCGGACGTACAGCTTGATCTTCGCCTTTTTGCTATCAAAGCGCGTGTAGAAATCACTGGCGGCCTTGCCTGGCACGTACAAAATCGATTTGAACTCGATCTCGCCTTCACCCTGGAAATGGATCCAGGTCAGCGGGTCAGTGGTGTCCGTCTTATCTAGCGTGTGGTAGAAGCTCTTGTACTCGTCATCGCTGATGTCGTCCTTCGAGCGCGTCCAAATGGCTTTGACTTCGTTCACACGTTCCCAGCCCCACACTTCACGCGTTTCCGTGCGAGTTTTCGGAGCCTCACTCTCACCATCTTCCATGACGGCTTCTAACTCGTCCTCGTCCTCCTTGTCGCTCGCCTTCTCACCAGTCTCCTCCTCGTCTGCAGCGTCATCGCTGGGCTCCTCCTCTACCTCGTACGTCTCTGTCGTGCTTGCATTCACATAGATCGGGAACGTGATGAACTCACTGTAGTGCCCCACAAGGTTCTTGAGCTTGTCTTGGTCCTCAAACTCGGCCGCATCTGGCTTCAGGAACAGCGTGATCTCTGTGCCACGGCCGAGTGTATTCCCTCGCGGATCCTTCGCGATCGTAAACGATGCGTTCGCGTCCGACTCCCAAATGTACTGCTCGTCGTCGTGGTTCTTGCTCACGACACGAACGCGGTGGGCCACCAAATAGACAGAGTAAAAGCCGACACCGAATTGGCCAATGAGGTTGCTGTCGTCCTTCCCGCTCTGCAGCGCTTCAGCAAAGTGGGCCGTGCCCGACTTGGCCAGCGTCCCGAGGTTGGTCACGAGGTCGTTCTTGGTCATGCCCACGCCCGTGTCCCGGATCGTGAGCGTGTGCGCGTCCCTGTCAAAGCTGATGCGGATCTCCAGCTCCCGCAGTTTGCCCAGCAGCTCCTTGTTGGACAGCGCCAGGAACCGGAGCTTGTCCAGCGCGTCCGAGGCGTTCGAGATGAGCTCCCGCAGAAAGATCTCTTTCGTGCGGTACAGCGAGTTGATGAGGATGTCCATGAGACGCGACACTTCGGCTTGGAACGCAAACGTCTCACCGCCTGTCGTGAGCTCGTGGTCGGCGACGTTCGCACTCGCTTGATGGGTGCTATACAAACAGCAAGTGAGTGAGTGAGACGATGCCCGCAGCAGCACGAATAGCAGCAGTAGCAGCAGTAGCGAGAGAGAGAGAGAGAGAGAGACGTGCAAGCGCGTCAGCAGAGTGCACGGACCTGGACACGTCATCATCGGACACAGTGGAAACAGCAGCGGGGGCGGCAGCGGCAGTGGCAGCGACTGCGCTGCAGCCGAGCGACATGGCGACGAGCAGGAGCAGCCATGGGCGACGCGCTGCTCTCATTGGACAAAAAGCACGACCTGCGCTCAAGCTGGCAAAGCCGTAAATACGTGTCCCTCCTGCTTTGACTCTGTCGGTTGAAAGTCGGGCAGGGGGTGGCGGTGGTGTGTTGGACGGCGCCGATTGGTGCAAAATCGAGCGAATTGTACAGCACAAGCACACGCAGCGAGTGTTCTAGAATTGCGGGACAAAGGTGATAGATCTGATTAGGATCGCTTTGTGGAGGGTTACATCGACGCCGACCCTCCGGCACATAAAGCTGTGGTCGCTCGCTCACCTGCACAGGATGTGTTGTACACAATGACCATTTGATAGGGTAATTGGTCTCGCGGCTGCCGTCTTTATTCAGATACCAATGCTGACGTTGCTCGTGCTTTGATTCGAGCACGAAAGGGTTTTGCACGACAGGAGAGTCAAATAACGCGCTTTATCGGGTCAAACATTTTGAACACGATCAAAGATCAACACCGCATTACAGTGTGCTGGTCGCGGCTCACGCACGCGCGTGATTACCCGGAAAAAAACGAGCTACTGCGCCTATTCTAGGACACACCGATGTGTTGTGGTCGAGGTTGGCATCGATGGAGTACAAAAGACGCAGGGGAACGGTATCGTTCGAGTTCTCACTCGTAAAGAACTTGCTACTCCCGCCGGATTAACCACAACAGTGTGGCACCTGAACATTGCCGTGCATAGCTACATCTTCGTTCACACTACGGATTAATCGAAAACAACAACGAGGCAAGTGTCACCCTCTTTGCTTAGCGACCGTAGAGCTCACGAACGTTTGTTTGCCTTTGCCTCAATTCATCACATATCATCGCCACTATTCCCACGTTGCTGTCGTTGCTGTTGGTGATGAACCGACCGATGAGATCATCAAATGTGTAACGGGATGAGCCCGTTACATAAAATCGATACGAATGTATCGATTTTTGAGTACTATCTAATTTGATAATATTCAATTGACATTACTCGACAAGAGGTAATGTTGGCAGAATACTACCCAGAGGGTACTGTTCTTGGGTGCTCCACTTCTTTACTGTGCACATGGTACATCAACCAAATTAACCACCAATCGCTGCTAGACGCGCGCAATGGGTTGTGAGCAAGAAACCCACATCGGAGATTGTAGTTTAGTATAGTTGGATGAAGACAAAGATGGTTTTTTAAAGAAACTTTACCATGTCAAAATGAAGTTCTATTTTTTCCTCTAAGACAGAGCTTCCCTCGCTCTGTACACTTCCTCGCGCTTCCTCACGTCACGTGTACGTGACGTCAGGATTGCACAGCCTTGTGGTCGTCAACACAAGGTCTTAATGTACCATTTATCTGGTATGAGATGGCCCCGTTACACCTGGTAGCACTTTGTAGTCCATCTAACGACCACGACAATCTCATTTGACAAGAACATGTGGGACGAGAAGGAAAGCTTTCACGCTACGCGTGAAGTCTATACCCATTAGAGTGACACAGAATGGAGTGCTGTAGTACAAATGATATCTACCGTAGGCGAAACCGCCATTAGCGCCATGTTGAAGTCCCTTGACAGAGATCAAGAACATGCCGCCATCGCCAGCTTCGCTCAAATGAACTTGTCGTTGAGAGAGAGAAAGTAGTCTTGCTCCACCAGCAAGGCTCTAACAGGCCGAGCAGTTGAGAGAGCTCGGTGCTCAATAGACAGAGCTGTTGAGATATCAGTAATTCAATGCTGCTGAGGGAGGGACGACACACACGCAACGTCCCTAAAATATAAAAATTGACATCTCCAATAAAGGAGAGTAGAGGAAGACTCCCTATTGAGATGGTTTGTCGAGTTGGACGATGCCATAAGGGCTCGTCGCATCGTCGACGACGAAATGCAAGCTGCGTTGACCAGCCCGACTTGGCTGGACGTGCGAAGGCTTGGGCCTTATGGCTCAAGCTCCACGACCCATATTCATTTGGATCGTTGGAACTATTAAAGTTCCGGCTCAGACAAACGTTTATACCGCCATGGGCTGAGCTCAGGGCTCGATCAGAGCTCCTGAAACTCAATCAGGGGAAGCGTGATGTGCATGCTTACGCTCAGCATATACGACTCCTTGCAAATAGTATAGCTGCTAACCCAGTTCATGATTACACGTTGATTGCCCGCAGACGGCCTCGAAGGAACCACCTGTTCGCTTAGGGCTAGATACGCTTGACGCGCAATTGAAGCTGCGGAACGGGAAGACTTTACCATGAGACAGGCTCATGCTAGCTCAAGCTCTTTCCGCTCACCAAGACAAGAGACTGGAGGTCCAGAACATTAGGACCTCTGTTATGTTAAGAGAAAGAGACCTCGCACTTCGAGCAACAAGCGATTGCAGAAGTTCAATCGCTGTAAGAAGTGTGGACACTACACTTATGAGTGTAGTGCCCCTCGCCCAGTACCAAGAAGTACTGAGTGCAATGATCGGCCATTTGCCAAACAGGACAATGAGCGTAGGTCCAAAGCTGTTGCGAAACCGCAATAGCAAAGCGGATCATCAAAAAATGGTCGGGGTCAGTAGGGGCGGATCGCCCTACTGATCCAGCAACCTTAAAAGAATTTGCAAATCTCTTGACGAAGGTTGCTCCAGATACACAATTAATGTGTTTCTCTGCACCTGGTGATGAGATATCACTCATTACCTTAAAGTTGAAAGTGACAGAAGATTTGTCACTTCTCGCTCTGTTGTACCGTGGGGCGTCGAATAATTTTATTCGTCACCAGTCACTAGATGAGCGTGGGCTTAAGTTCGTTGAGCGCGACATCCCTCTCACGAGGAAGACGGTGCGCATTGCCATAGGCGCATCGACTGCCGTTAAGAAACATGTAGTAGGATCCCACTCACTACACGTTACAGGGCTAACAGTACGATGATAATTTAATCGTTCTGAATCCGGATGACAAAATTTGATGTCATCCTGGGATTAACTTGGCTCAGAAGATACGATCCAAGACTGAGCTAACAGCATCGATCCGTGAAGATGCCTGCCGCTTGTTCATCAGATGGTCATCCGATAAACGTCATGGAGCGTCCACAAGCATGTGGATGTACTACGGGTGAGTGCGGTGGCCTCAATTGCGGTACGGTCGTTCGCACGACTGCACAAGACCTCAGTGTCGTTCATCACTACACTGGTGGAGCAAGCTCCAGGCGGATGTACCGACGTGCAGGCACCGCCGAAGGTCCACCACTCGAATAAGTGGAGTGGATCGGGACATGGATATATGCCTAGCGGGCATCAATCTAAGAAGAGCTAATTAGTTATACAAGTGCGACAACAACGTAATCCTAAGTCGGTTGGGAAGGCATACGTAGATAACCGTTCCCCGAATGTGGTTGCACAGCCACAGTCCGAAGACGTCGAGGGAATAAATGCCCACGTTCTAGAGGAAGGATTTCCTCAAGAGTTACTTGCTGAGAGATTAAGCAATCAGCAAACTGAGCGGACAAGCCCTCAGCAGCCTTGAAAACAAGTTCTTAAGAAGAAACCGAGACGTTGAACGTCTTGGTCAATGACGGGTCTACCCTAGGCGCTTATGCGCTTGATATGATAGTGCCTACGAATTTAACTTCGGAGATAACTCAATTGCCAACGCTAGAACCGAAAAGGTTCTTGCGTGATCTTCGTAGTGGCAAGACCAAGAAGATCTACATAATCGTCACAGAGGATGAGTACGTTACCGATATTCGATCAGCAACGGTGTTTACTGAGACCGAGAGGGTTCTAAGCAGCTCATCGATGGGAAAAAGTGTCATCTATGAGAAGACTCGGATTGAGAGACACACGTCTCAATACTGGGAGTTGCTTCAGGCAAATACTTTGTACAATGATTTGATCGAATTCAAGGATGTATTCACTGAATCAGTACATGCGAGTTGCCTTGAGACAAAAGCACTCGACACGAGATCGAACTCAAACCGGGCTCGAGGTACTGTGTCATGAAGCAGGGGCCACTTCTTCTTTCACAGATACTGGCGATCAAAAAATTCTTTGCCGATCGCTTAGCATCGAGCCATGTGAGGGAATCAACTTCCCCTCATAGCTCTCCAAAATTCTGTGTGTTAAAGGCCGCAAGAAGATGGCGAACAGTGCACGCATTTAACAAATTGGATGCTGAAACGGTGCCGGCTCAAACGCCGATACCGAGGAAGGACGTAATCATAGATGGCATGTCTAAGAGTACCATCTTCTCTTCCATGGGTCTGATGGATGGATTCTATCAGATCTTCATGCGTGAACAGGATATCCCGTATACAGCAGTGAGCACCCCCAGCGGCATGCTATGGTAGTGGCTAGTAATGTCACAGAGCTAAGCAATGGATCAGTCTCCTTCTACAGATGTGTAACAAATCCTTTGAGACCGATGCGAGAACTCGCACCGAGTTACTTTGACGATGTGTTCGTCCATAGCCAGGCGATGAACGGAAAGACGGACGTGGATGTCCACAGAACACACGTTCGTCAGGTCCATTAACTTATGCGGAAGCATAAGTTGTACGCCAACCTCAAGAAGAGTATATTTGCGGCTAGCTAATACCCTTTTTTCGTGCATCGTGGGTAAACACGGCGTACTCCCTGATCCCGAAAAGATGAAGGCGATCACCGACTGGCCCGTGCCAGTCGATGTCAAGGGACTTCGTAAGTTCCT